ATTAGACGTTCAAGACCTAATTCAGAGGGCGGTTCCAGCCAGGGAACGTGTCAATAAAATAAAACACAGTTAAGGTCTTTAATGTTCCAGACTGGAATAAGTATGCCAAATCTTTTAAATTAACGAGCATTTGCTAAGAATCGTTGCCTTACACAGGTACACGAAGATGTCGTGACAAGAGGATCCGGTCGTGCGGACGCAGCCTAACCGCTGTTTTCGACTGTCCCCTTTTTCGTACGTGCACGCACGTAAATTTTAGAATAATTTAAATGATACTTATGAGATCAACAATTGAATACATGAATAAGGCTATATTCTGTTGATGATTTGGTGTGTTTTTTGGCATAAAACTAACTATATACAGCAACTTAGAAAGTTTTGAGCTTCATACGTGCGCGTAACGTTATACGTGCAAAAAAAAACTTTCATTTGGCAGATATAATTAAAGCAATAATGCTATCATCATTTCGGGGTTAAAACTCGCTTTCACATGGCCAATTTTGATATCGTGACAATGCGCATCCGGTGTAGTGTAAACTGCGTCTGAGTGGTAAATTAAATATGTAGTAGTATACTAGTATAGTCTAATATAAAATTCTATCAAATTCTCTTGTGTATAATCACGCGCGTTTAAGGGAACGATAAAGATAATTTCTTTATTTATTAATAAAGGTTGAGATCTTGTGTAAATTTAAACGCTGAGGTGGCTTATTTCAATTAAAAACTCTACTGAAGGCCGAATATATTCGAAGGAGGAATAGTTGATATAAGTTTTCATATAAAGTCATGCACTATTAACTTTAATAATACTTCGAAGTAGATTCTTAAAAATGTTGTTTCCTGTAAACATTGTCGCGACATTACCTGCACGAGGCTAGGCAGCTTTGAAGCCTGAAACAACAAGAATGCTACGGGTTGAACGTCGTGCATATGTCAATTCACTTGACCGTCATTAGACGTTCAAGACCTAATTCAGAAGGGGTTCCAGCCAGGGAACGCGTCAACGGAGTTAAAAGAAGAATCCCTGAAGAGGGACAACACAAAAAATACGTGAAGATTCGAGAGCTAAAAGAATATCACGCTAAGTATAAAAATTAACCCTAAGTTTGAACCAACCTCGATCGCTTATAGAAAATAAAAGTTTTGGTTGATAAATATTTAGCTTTCTGGAAATTTTATTTCATGTCATGATGGCCAGTAGAAACAACTAATTCATCGTGTGTAAAAAATTGCTCCTCCAAAACCATATTTTTTGTTTCATTTTAGTGGTGTGAATTAAAATTACTTTCTTGGCATTGGTACATTCACGCATCAAGCAAATAATGAATTTTAAAATTTTGTTTGACTATTCAATGGACCTTTTGCATAATATAGAGCAACTTACGATCTAGGCAACAAGAAAGAATTCACCACAGCTAGAAGAACATACCGAAATTAGTATAATTGCCATGTTTGGCTGCAAAATGTCAAGTATTACTATACGGAAAATATAGCCATGCGAAGTAGCCAATTTTGTATATATACTTTTTACTACGTCCGGAAGCGTTTAACACATTTAGTTACACCATCGCACGGCTCTGACTTTGTCAACCAAAAGGAGTCAAATTTGTAATGTGTTCCACCCCTGTTGTGAAATTTTGAAAAAACATGCAGCAGTAATACATCACGTCGTAGATTTGGTGCATGTTAACGCCACGGTCAAGGCCCACACAAGATAGGACGCAATTTGGCAACGCGGCGCGATTTTTCAAAGTTTTTTTTCCAAACGCAAATAAATTTTAACCTATCATAATATTCTTGTAGATTACTTAAAGATAATACGTTTTTACTGCTCTGGCGTCCATAGATTCTAAATTGTGTTTCCAGAATTTTATTTATATGTGTCGCTTTGCCTGGCCGCATCAAGCGCGTCCGGTAGACATATTCGCGCAGTGCTGTTAGGAAAGTTTGAAAGCGAACATCGAGGGAAATCCAGATCATGTATTTTGTGTTCATCCTGTGCCATTCACCTATGAAACAAAGACATAGGGATAGCAGAATCACCTGATTGGAGCATACAATGTTTTGATTGTTCAAATAGTCACAATTATCTTGAAGCGCGTATCGTCAGCCCTAAAAAATTTGAGCGCTAAATGCTATTAATATAATCAATTATTATATACCACTTGTCAAAGTTTTGTTTTGTAGCGTTTCATTGGTCGAGTGCGAATCACGCGAGAGTGACGAAACTTTGATGTCGCCAGTGCGACCCCCTGCAGAGTGAGATAACGTGTTATCTCATGCGAAATAACAACGTTTATCCATTTGAATTTATGTCTTTTATGAATAGATATTTCGTTGTTTGGTTTTTCTTTGACAAGTGGTATAAAATAAAAAACCTTTTTAGCGAAAACTCAGAAAACATTATGTTTTGTGGACCCTCGACCATCGATATTTTACTCGGCTTCGCCTCGTGAAATATCGACAGGTCTCGGGTCCACAAAACATAATGTTTCCTTCGTTCGCAGTAAATAAGTGTTAAATATTACCTCAAAAAAATTGCGTCATCATGCATGACATGAAAGTGAACAAGAATTGTTTATTCTTGAAAGGTTAGCAAAGAAATGATAAGACACTCAATCAAAGAAGAGTGTTCTCTTATCACGATAACCACGTGTTAAATATTGTTAATTTCGTAGAATAATGCTCGGATTTCCCGGATTACTGAAGAGTGTATTTCTTGTCATGCGACAATGTAAGTTTTATCGCTTTTTAGTATAAATATTAAATATTTTTCGGTCTAATAATATTATAGGTCTCTATGACATTCATCAATGAGGGATTCATATAATCTAAAGCTTTAAAATCATTAATGATCAAAGCCGTTGTAATGATTACTAGCATGCGGGTTTTCTGCGAAAAACAATACACACACGTTTTTGCGGCAGAAGCACTCCTATAGGATGTAATTCTATATTGTCATTCTATCTTTCATCCCAAACACTCGTTCTTAAAAGGCCTTTAAATCGTTTTCCGGAGGCTTATACTCTCCCATGCATTAGGACTTAGGGCTAAAGCGCATGTCATGTATGCGCACACGCTACATAGGTATATATTCTCACTGCTCGCCTTCCCACACAATGCCTTCGACTGAAGAGGAATTCAGATTGGGGGTAAATAATTTTCAGCCAAAGGCAAAAATGCGGATATCGTCGCAGCCGAGAGGAGGAGGGTGGGCAAATTTTTTTCAACGGATCTTCTGGTTTTCGGTGGTGAAAGAGCGGAAAAGCCTCAAATACCCCATTACACGCTAGATTTATACTAACCGGGTATCACGTGGTATATTGCCACTGCCTACGTATTTCCTCTCGCATAAATATTTCTGTTATCTGGCAATATGAGGGAAAACTCCCAATGAGAATAGGTATAAAGTTAGCTAGCCTCTAAGACATCAACCTCGTATGTCTGACACTGATGCCGCCCGCAAACATATGTTTTCGCCAAAACCGAAGACAAACTTTGATATGAACATTTCCTTATGAACTTTATTTTATTATTGATATACTAAAATAGCTATTCTGACTATTATTCGAAATTTGGGAACTTCGCGGCAATTTGACTAGGGCAAAGCAATTACAATAATATCTCTTTGCTTCATTGAAATTGCTTTGCCCGAGCTGAGATTTTATAGTGGCCTGCATTTTATTGCAATTTAGTCAAATTGCCCGCAAAGTGCGATTTGAAATTCCGAAGTTCGAATCGAACTTCGGAACTTCGCTGCGAATTACAAAATGGAATTGACAACTTCCCTGCCAACTTGACAGCTTCCAAACATAGTTCACACCTGGAGCGGCCAAAGTTTTATGAAATCAATTTTAAAATCTTTTTTATCTATATTATTGTTTTGACGTCCGGCCTGTCCACACGATCCAAGGAAAAAGAATTATGCCAAGTTAAATGAGCTTCAACGTCTATTGTAAAATGACGGTGTTTGAAACCGTTTTGGAATGAAAACCAATGTGTAAATAATGGAAAACTTTACCATGTGCACATATAGCCTAAGCGTTGAGTTTCTATTCCTTTAGCCGGTACAAATACGAGTTTTACTGGGTTTGCATAAAACATACTTCTAACAGCAAAAGGATGTTCAGTTGCAATGAAAACATTAATTCATCAAAACATCTCTATGTTTTTCAAACGCTTTACGTTTCCAAAGTATAACCAAGGAGCTGTTCGGCCTGTTCCATGCAAGAACCATAGCATGATGCCGCGGCTCTTCCCGCTAGAGTTGTTATCTAAAGACGTTTAATTTTTAAATAAAAATCTACTATAATTATAATCCGATTGTTAATTTGTAGATTTATATTAACAGTAATTTTCAGCGAATTCTTTCAAAGCCGGATGACATCTAAACCTTGCGGCCAATATAAATTGTGTTTAGAGCTGTTTCGGCGCAGTTTTTTGGCTCCAGCCTCAGTTTTCATCTTGTTCTCTTGTACTGAAAAACACAACTGCCCCTGACCTTTGTGACGCTAAATTTAGCGTTAATTTTAGGTGGATTATTAGTGATGATACTGTCGTTATCCCATGGACAACAACCTTGCATGAACGACGACAAACCATGTACATGGCGACATTTTAGAAAAATCATTGTTGGTAAGTTTTCATAGTTTGAAAATAATTTGCTATTTTTTTCAGTTAAGATTAAAGAAGTCTTATAATTATATACATACGTTAAGTGCATTTTTAAACTTATTTTTTTCTATAATCATGTTCGGATTTACTGTTGTATTGTTAAAACTGTGCATGGGAGTTTAGATTAGCAAAAGAGAAATCAGAACTCCGCTATAACATGCATATAATTTTCTTCGGAATGTATATGTGACACTTTTTTAATACTAAAATGGCTTGGAAACCAGCTGAACTGAAAACTTTCTACCCTACGAGAAGAATCCTCGCTATTGTGTGGAAAAAATTGTTATTTTTTAATTTAAATATTAGGAAACAAAGCGATACGTCGTTTAAACTTGATCTCCAGTCACAATGTCCACCTTGTGGGGGAATGCCATATTCTCTGCACAGGTCATGAAAATTGCTATGGTTACAACTTCAGATCGGACAGCAATATTTATAGCAAAAACTGTCAATTGAGCAATAGCACTGTAACAATGAACAAAACAAGAAAAAAGAATGGAACTTGGACATATTACGAGGATGTTCTGGTAAGATTTAGCATGTAAAAATAGACGAAGGTTTCATATTTATTTTTTGTTTTTCACGTGTATAAAATCATAACATATAACTGCCACTGATTTGCGTTCAGGCTTGAAGCGTGCAAAATATTTCGCGTTTGTTTACGTTAAAACGCAACGTTTCGAGGATAATTAGACACGATTGGCCAATGATATTGATTCCTTAATATGAGCATGCAACACGGAAATTATAGTAACGAAAATGACATGTTTTGATCGACAAAACAGTACGTTTGGTAGCTAATAAACGTTATATAAATATAATAACTACAATGAAATACGCAATTTGATTGTAAAATTGTTCAAACGTGCTGTTTTGTGAATCAAACCATTCTAATAATAACCGTTGGATGCTCATAACGAATCAACATCATTGGGCCAAACGGGTCTGATTACTCCCGAAACGTTGTGTTTTAAACGTAAACAAACGTGAAACATTTTGCACACTTCAAGCTTGAACGCAAATTGCAGTATAAAATGTTTATAATAAATTCGTCGCAAAGTTTATGCTCGCTAAAGTATGCAAAGTTTAAGAAATCAGTTTTCAAATCATGAATAAGTCTCCACGCTGATTTATGAGCAGAACAGATGCGCAGGACTGCTCTAACATATATATATATATATATATATATATATATATATATATATATATATATATATATATATATATATAATATATTAATATATATTAATATATATTAATTAATATATATTAATATATATTAATATATATATATATATATATATATATATATATATATATATATTAATATATATATATATATATATATATTCATAAGATATGTTAGCCATGTTAACGCAACCTTTGACGAAAAATATTCAAACTTTCTCGGCCTCGTCATAGCTCTCAGCCGTGCGACCTATTTCACTAACGGTTTGCCATTTGCGGGGATAAAAATTTATTTAAAAAGAAATTTATTAATTTATATCAATTAAAAGCCAACAAATTACTAGTAAAACGGCAGAAATAGTAAAAAATGTCCCCGTGGCGTGTGCATGACGTGTACAATTTGGGACACAAAAATAATCTATAGCTACACTTCTTATAATACGTATTCTTTGGCCTCACTAAATGCGCGACAGTTTACGAAAGGAAAAATTGCGTCGCGGTAGGTTGGAAGGAAGTTAACTTACACCTTAGCTTATCACTTGACAAATACTAAAATGCGATCAATGCCATATTCACAGGTTTACCGATTATCTTAACTTATGTGTTTTTATTTTTTCCCTCTAGGTAACGCAAGGTAAGCAAAATTTTAAAAAATATTGATGTCTGTGGAAGTATCTCTATATAAACAGGTATAATTGAATACTGCAACAATTTTGCAAATACTTTTGATTTTCAATGTGGCGTCTTCGTATATTTTACAATTCTTTGTCTGCATTCTAAGGTTCGCTCACAGCCTAGCTCAGGTTGAAAACTTCAGGTTATACCTGAGCCGGCGCAAAGAACCCTGCAAGGGTACTAATTTCACCAAAAGATTTCCACGAAAGAAACTTTTTTAAAGTTGAAACCTAGCTTCAAGAACTATATTCACCAGTAGCTTAACAACCATTGTTGACTTTTACTTTCTTGTAATAATTACTTATTAGACATTGATGAGTGTTCCAATAAATCAAGCCATGATTGCGATGGAAATGCAAATTGCAACAACACTCCAGGTTCCTATCAATGTCTTTGCATTAACGGATACTCCGGGGATGGACGCACTTGTACAGGTATAATAATTATGTCACTTGTACACGTATAATTATGTCACTTGCATGTACTGGTATAATGATGTCACTTGTACAGGTATAATTAACGTCACTTCTATTGGTATAATTATGTGACTTGTACAGGTATAATTATGTCACTTGTACTGGTATAATTATGTCACTTGTAAAGGTATAATTATGTCACTTGTACTGGTCTAATTATGTCCCTGGTATAATATGTAATGGTATAACTATTTGCGCTAATTATTTTTTTTATTGTGGAGGTCATTGTTTGTATGATTAACTAGAGTAATAAATTTTGATTCAGATGTTAATGAATGCTCTGAGGGAGCACACACATGCGATGAAAATGCCAACTGTACCAATACTGATGGTTCCTTCAATTGTAATTGTCAGATTGGGTACACAGGTGACGGAAACGCTTGCATGGGTAAATACCAGTTAAACCAACCAAACTTAATCGAACAGCATCAAAAGAACGGTTTATTTGTTCCTCTTGGAGGAATTGCCGTATCATGAGAGCGAAATCAAATCGCGCATCGGAAAATCATCCAAAGATTTCGAGCTGTGCACCACAACTCTGGGGAGACAAAACTGTGACGTGGATAAATACGGTCACATACACATTTCAAATACTAGTATATTTCGAGCCAAAACACACTTGGAACGACGAAAAATAATAAAAAAAAACAAAAAACAAAACAAAACCTAGGCGAATTCCTAATTCCGTCGATCGCTGACGCCGGAATAATTAGTGTTTGTTTATTTCATTGCGATTTTGACTTATTCTGGAAATGGTCAAACATGTTCAGGTATAGTTTCTTCAGGCGTTTCCATAACTCTCACTACTGGATTTGCAGCATATTTTCTCACTCTAATCAGTGCTCTTTTCAAGAGTGAATTTAATTTTCGTTAATTCATTCTGATTTTGACTTGACAGATGTGAACGAGTGTTCTTCTAGTGTCTGTCACTCAAATGCTGATTGTACCAACACAGTTGGTTCCTACACGTGTCAGTGTCGAAGTGGTTATTCTGGAAATGGTCAAACATGTTCAGGTAACGTTTCACACACGAGCATGATTTAGTCATTGGTTTTTTATGGAAAAGAATTGTTCATTGTTAGTATGTCTGTAATTATTGCGTTGACAGATGTTAACGAGTGCTCTCTGGGAACACATTCATGCTCTTTAAACGCCAATTGTTCTAACACCGTTGGTTCCTACACGTGTCAGTGTCGAAATGGTTATTCTGGAAATGGTCAAACATGTTCAGGTAACGTCTCACACACGAGCATGATTTCGTCATTGGTTTTTTAACAAAGAGAATTGTTCATTGTTAATATGTCTGTAATTATTTGTTCGACAGATGTTAACGAGTGCTCTCTGGGAACACATTTATGCTCTTCAAATGCGAATTGTTCTAACACAGTTGGTTCCTACACGTGTCAGTGTCGAAATGGTTATTCTGGAAATGGTCAAACATGTTCAGGTAACGCCTCACACACGAGCATGATTTCGTCATTGGTTTTTTATCAAAAAGAATTGTTCCTTGTTAGTATGCCTGTAATTTTTGCGTTGACAGATGTTAACGAGTGCTCTCTGGGAACACATTTATGCTCTTTAAACGCCAATTGTTCTAACACAGTTGGTTCCTACACGTGCCAGTGTCGAAGTGGTTATTCTGGAAATGGTCAAACATGTTCAGGTAACGTCTCACACACGAGCATGATTTCGTCATTGGTTTTTTATCAAAAAGAATTGTTCCTTGTTAATATACCTCCAATTTTTGCGTTGACAGATGTGAACGAGTGCACTTCTAGTGTCTGTGACTCAAATGCTGATTGTACCAACACAGTTGGTTCCTACACGTGTCAGTGTCGAAGTGGTTATTCTGGAAATGGTCAAACATGTTCAGGTAACGTCTCACACACGAGCATGATTTCGTCATTGGTTTTTTATCAAAGAGAATTGTTCATGGTTAGTATGTTTGTAATTATTGCGTTGACAGATGTTAACGAGTGCTCTCTGGGAACACATTCATGCTCTTCAAATGCTGATTGTTCTAACACAGTTGGTTCCTACACATGTCAGTGCCGAAGTGGTTATGAAGGTGACGGGAAATCTTGTACGTATATTTTAAATGCAAAATACAATTTATTCATAATTCAAATTCATGTCCAAAATAGGTAATTAAACGCAATGTCGAATTTATGTCGTTGTTTTACTAGGCATATAGTAAAATAAACTGTCAAACCAGGCGCTCAAACGCAATCGTGGCACGCTGTATTTCTATGTCATAGAAGATAATAATTAATTTTCACCAAGCAATAGCTTAGTGTGGTTGACTGCATGCTTGTGAAAATAGCGTAGGAAATTAAAATAAGGTAAATTGAAAGCTATGAAATCAAGGGTGTGAATATTCATTATTTAGAGTATGAATTATTACCAAAAATACCCAATATTATATTCCGCGTCAGTTTTTTAATTTTAGGAATTGTAGTATTTTGTCTGTTTATTGGTTCATTGGTTTCACGAAATAAATTGCCTTGTCTCTTTGCAGTGGCGTAGCCAGCATCGATAATTGGGGGGGGGGGGGGGCATATTCATCTATTCATTTTAACAGACTGTAAAGACAATTAATTTGAAAAGAAATTATTCCTGCATATCACGAATATATGAATATGGGCCCCCCCAATTATCGTTCTGGCTACGCTACTGTCTCTTTGCAAATATTTTCCTTAGGCCTGCTGCGCACGGTATTCGGCAATTGATTTGATTTCAACGATTCCACCTTTCTAGAAGTAGCGAGCGCAATTTTTTAGGACGCCCCTCCAGATTCTCCTTGGAGAATGCATGGTTTATTTAGAAAGAAGAGAAAAAGGAATATTTTTTTACTGTTTAGGCGTTTCTTCGTTCCGAATAAGATTGGCTGGCAAAAATGTTTCAAACAAAGGCCGAGTAGAAATCTATCATCCGTCGTATGGTTGGGGAACAGTGTGTGATGATGGGTTGAATTTGCAGGATGGTCATATAATTTGTCGTCAGCTTGGATATCAGAATGCTACTCATATTCATGATTACGCACACTATGGTCAAGGAACTGGTCCCATTTTACTGGATGACGTAAAGTGTTTCGGAAACGAGTCTTATATTTGGGATTGCAGACACCCTGGATGGACAATCCACAACTGTGGTCACAGCGAAGATTTCACTGTAGATTGCGCCTAAAGTTTTCTCCTATTTTTAAATTATGTGCGATTATTTATGATCGTATTAGAGTTTTCTCCGTAAGAAAATTGCGAAAACGTGGGAAACCTGTGTGGAATTAATCAAATGGTAAATTAATCTATTTAATGTGCACGTAGAAAGGATCTTCTGCAATGCATGGCAAAGGGCCTCCAGAAAAACGTTGAGGGCAATAGGAATAATTAAAATTAAAAACGTAGTGGAGTAAAAGCTAATTAGACTAATTATACCCGGGATAATTGCTTTAAAATGGAGAGACATTTAGAAACAGCGCATAATATCTTTGTACCACACATGAGGAGGTACAAAATACGCTAAATGCAGTTTCATAACCACAACGATCAGTACAAAGTCCAGTCAAACACCATAAAAACTGTTTGATATTTCGACCTAAGAGCTTTCGTAGATAAGTTTATATTTTGCAGGCAACTATCTTTAATATAACCACATTTAATGAGAACCTGGAATATTATACAATACATCGATCTATTTATTATCTGACTTTTCCTTTTTGCGTTTTCTAACTGAGGAATCGTTTCTTTCAGACCCCGATTCTGATTTGATGTCATTTTGAGACTGGGCATCGTATTTTTTACGTTTCGTTTTTTCTTTTGTACGAGCCTCTTGGATGAGTTCAGTTTCTTCGAAATTTCCTTCAAGTGACTTATTTTTCCCGCCATGATTTTGTGTAGCACTGCTGTCGGAGTCATCAAGTGACACAAAATTTCCCTGGCCCTGCCTATCAATATATAACAATATTTATATCCTTTCGCTTGGGACACAAGACAGAAAACATTTCAGGCATGTTTAGCCTAATATTATTGCCCTATGCTCACCAAAATAGTTTTTTTTTTGAATTTAGAATTTTATGCTGTGTACTTCGATCTGCACAAGAGGTTAGAAAAAAAATATTGTATTCAAGACTGAAATATGCTATCATTATGAATATAATATTACAATTATGATATGAAAATTTATGAAGCCTTAATGATTAGATATGACAAAAACAGTTTTTATTGATGCCAATAATGCTTTTGATATAGATTGAAAGTGTATAAAAACCAACCAAAATTCACAGTTTGCAAGTACTGTAGTTAGTCAGTGTCAAGGAACAGCATTCAATTGTGTTACTTTATTAATTACATGCTCAATATCTAGAAATAAATATTCTTTTGCAAAACCCTGTAAGGACCAGAGATAAACCTACTCTATCTTTTATGTGGATTAAACATATTGTTCATTTAATTTTTTACAAATTCTGAGACCTGCAGGTAAATAACCAGGACCAATACAATATAGGTTCATATTAGGTTGTCATTTTCTGTTCATCCTAAATATAATGTTAGCTAACGTACCAAAATACTGGAAACTAATTATACTGTAAACCAGATATATGATCCAGGAACTATATTTGCTTTATAGGCTTATATGTAAGCTACCCTACTCTTAAAACAAAGATCAGATTTATGTAGCTCAGGTTTCACTCAGGTAAAAAAATATTCAGGTTTCAAATCTGATCACTCAATTTAATAGGATCTATAATCCAAATCTTAGTAAATATCATAGAAACTGAACAATATTATTGAACAGCAAGTATTACAGATATGGTTGTCAAAAATGTAGTGTATAATTTATATAGTTAACACTCTGTCGCTTGTTCAAACTCAAGACATTGTTACAACATGTAGCAATACATGTAAGCTATTGCACAGTTCAATCTGGACACAATGGTGTCCATATTTTATGCACTTCTCATGCGGAGAATTATAAGTGCGTTATGCTGTCAAAGCATGGTTTAATAGGTGCTTTTTAAAATCCAAATGACATTATTAGTGGAACTAATAGTTGTGGTTTGCATAGATTACAAATGGACTGCAACTTGTCTTATGGGTTAATTGCAGCACAACAGTACGGAAACTTATTTTTATCAACTTGGGACAACCTATCAAACTAATATTTATTAGTTTGACCAGATCTGGTACATTGTTTAATTGCCAGATCCAATAGGTTGGAACATAGACAGCACCGCCTGATTCTAAAAATTATCATATTTAGACCAGGAGGGGCAGTCCAACTAGATTCAGTAGATTTGGTTAAAAAATCTGCATACCTGGTGACAAAGGTACATATCTATCAATTAAATAAGTACTCACTTGATATACTTCATGTCTTTTTCCTTAATATGACCCGCAATAGACAACACTCCTGCAACAGTTCTTAAATCTCCCACACGAAAAACAAACTCACTCCCTATCACTAAATCACTGCCAATCCAGCCATTCTTACCCGATCTTGATTTAGCTAACGATGCATTAAACCTACCATGAACTAGGCAGCCGACATGGCTGGAACTCGTCTTATTTACCACGCCAATTAACTTTTTTCCAACCTCTGGTTTGAATATAATATAGTTTACTTTAATATCAAAGTGAAGCAGTGGAGATTCATCAAAAACTTCGGCTGATCTTTGCAGTAATTTTATATGATCGTAAGCAACAATTATTCCACCATAATCATCACGAAATTTCCAGCGTTGTATTTTATGTTCAATTTGTTCTTGAATGCCTTGTTTAATGCGGCCAATATAATACGGAGATAGTGTTATGTGTTCTTGAGTCTCTATTTCAACAAAGCATGAATATTTCTCGCTGCATTTTTGTTTAGCCTCAGCGTAAGACCAGATATTGCTTGCTGTGTCATACGCCATGTTGATTTTTACGACACGTGAATGTGGCGCATATCTCGTTATATTGAGATCAGTTTTACGACACCGCGGAAATTGGTATCAGTGGTTTTAAAGTGCTACTGCAACGAAATTTCCGACCCCTTTTTTATTGGCTCAATTTAAAGTGCTCACTTTCCTGATTTCATTTCTGAAAACAGAATCAAAATTGGCTTTCTCAAAAGATTTTTATAGCTCTCCAAAGTCGCGATTTTTGCCACTTCCTGTGCGAACTTTTGCTCCGCCATATTGTGGTTTGTGACGTAGAAAAGAGTACCGATTCTTAGCATGGCGTAAAAATACTAGTGTTAAGTAGCTTCGTCGACGAAGAAGCTGCGTTTCTTACAGTCCCTACTAAGCCAGTATTCATCAAAATTATTAAATATCTATATACATATGTTCCTAACGAAAAGATGGATCACCAAAGTCGAAGAAAATATTAAATTTTATTCCGACTTTCTGCTTCATGGTTCGCGGTTCTTTGCGCGGCTAAGTCAATTTCAATGATTTGTATATGACTCTTGTTTAGCAAGATCCCTTAAATAAAAGAGTATTTAAAGAAGATTCTGTGCATACATTTGATGTCTGAAGAATCGTAGCACAAGTTGAAAGCTAACAGATATATTGGCAAAGGCTGATTTTATCATCAATGCGAAGATACTTCGCGCGCACATGCATTCATGATGAATTATAGTGATGTTGGCCTTGGTGTCATAATGTGCACGGCCAGTGTCGTTTCTTGAGACATTGAAGTTCAATTTAAATCAGCAAGGATGGTGTTTCTTGAGTATTTATGAACAGACCTGTGTTAGTGTTTCTTTGATATATTTCGATACGCGCTATTGCAAAACAGTGGCAATGTGGCATTTACAATAGTGCAGTATCATATTACTGTTTATGATTTGCGGGAATATTTCGCATAGTGTGATACACCAATATTATCAGTAACAACGACATCATATCATAGCCTTCGTCTTCGTTTATTGAAAGACTAAGCAGTTTTTTTAAGTTCTTCAAGATCGTCTTATGTAGGACTTTGTGGCATAAAGGACTTTGCGGCACAACATATACATGCTTATATATGGCATATATTACTACATTATATCCCTGTCAGACGGGCTAAGACTAATTTGAATTTTCTAACAAATCGGCGTATATTTTCAGACCCTTTACCAGACATTCCTTGAATATATGTTAGGTAACAGACTTAACTTCCATTTCAAAATGAAATGATTTGGTTCTCTGCGTCAAGCTCGAATATTCGAAACAGACAACACACAAGCTATATATATTACCATAAGCTTCGAAACATCGGTACTCGTTATGACGTCACATCAGCAAACATGGCGGCTATAAAAGTTCGCATTTGATACCGAGGTTTGAGGGCAAAATTAGTCAACTTCTACTTAACACACAAAAGTCATACATACATCAAATTGTTTCTAAAAGACTGAATATTTGTTTAGGCTAATAAAAATGGGGTCGAAAATTTCGTTGCAGTAGCACTTTAAACTTGAAATTTTGTGAGCAAAAAAGCCAAAAGATTTAAGGCGGTGTTACACTATGCAGCAACTATGCAACTTGCAATGCAATTCTACTCCTGAGACATCTAAGTAAAGGTATGAATTACAAACATTTGTTACTATCTGCCAACGTTACGTTTTCGTTGCATTTCGAACACTCTTTACAAATTTACATCCCTCAAAAATCATAATTGCATTGCAAGTTGCAAGAAAAATTGCATAGTTTAACAGCGCCTTTACCGATGCTAAACAAAATTACAAAATATAACTTGCGCAAACGATTTGAAGCTTGCACACGGCAAAAACGAATCGTGTGAATTAATTACCTTGTGTATACTTTAAGCCTCAATATGACCATTTCACGGCTGTCAGATGTGTATGACGAGCTTATATTTAATAGCACTCTCTTTGAGAGCGATACAGAAATGCACAATTGTGAAGCTGTGATTACATTTTCGGCTTAAAACTTCAAACACCAATTTCTGTCGCGCTGCTTTACAAACGAAGAACGAACGTTATGCAAAAATCTAGACTGTCATTTCTTATATTTTTACCTCTTAGGCTGAACTCTGATTAGCCAACAAATAAGGCGAAATGGCGAAGAAGAAAAACGTTTATTCCTTTATTCCTTGCATCATGGAATGGTAGTACCTTACTGCGATTACCAGTTGAGCGTGGAATTGCGAAAGTTTGTTCGTTAAGTTTTGTAATTTGAGAGCAATGTTTGTGACGTCATCTAATAATGTTGTTATGCGACGCTCACCAAGTTTTCAAGGGAAACTGTCAATTTTGTGACTGTAAATAGAAGATCTGTATAGCAAGTAATAGCCGCTATTTTTACAGTATCTATTTAAAGCCGTTAGTCAAAAACTTGACATTTTTTCCATGATAACTTGGTCAGCGTTCCCTGGCAACATTATTAGATGACGTCACAAACATTGCTTTGAAACTACAAAACTTAACGAACAAACTTTCGCAATTCCACGCTCAACTGGAAATCGCAGTATTTATAGACGACGTGCAGCCGGTACAGGTTGAGATCGAAAGAAATTCTTCTTTTCAATAGTGACAATTCGACCATAGCGGATTCATTTGACCTGTCATATTTGCCAGAAAAAAATCAAGCGAAAAGTCGTCCAATCGAAAAATTCCGGCTTGTGGAAAATAGCCCTTGCTATTAAAATTATGAAAATCCAGCCGTATCTGAGCGCACTCGTGACGTAATTAAATTAGCGTTTGATGACGTAATTAGATTAGCCAAAACCAACTACAGTTTTGTAAAAGTTTTGTTGTTGTTAAAACGTTTTGGACAGCATGACCAAAACAACAAAAAACTTCATTTAAAACTTAAAAGTTCATTTTTACTTGTTCACCGACCGATTCGCTAGATAAAGAACAATGTAATATAAGATGCCATAAGCTGAAATGTTTAATTTAAAAGTGGCCCCAAGTCATCAAGAAACTTGTCCATGCAATGCTACAGAGCCGTTTATTGTAAATTTAGCCCTTGGCCTTCGCGCTCAATTGACGTCCTTTGAGTTTTTTCACGTAATTCTTCACTAAACTGGCAACATCACGTGACACAACTGGAAGAGGTGATTGGCTGATCTACAAAGTTGATGAAAGAAGTATGAAGACTGATGAAGATGTATGATAGCCGTATATAAGAGTGGCTAATAAGACCTGGGTTTTATCACTCGCAAATAATAGGCGATATCCTACGATCATTGTCGCTGATCAATAAAGTAAAAAAGTTTTTGAACACAGTATTTAATGCGTTATTTAATGCAACAATAAAGGATAAATGATAGAAGGTACTTCTTCAGTTTGAACCAATAATATAAACTAACCTTTTCAAAAGCACGTCCGTAAATATATTTATAATCGTCTTTCGATATTTCCTTATGTCTGTAAAATGGTTTCAAAGCTTCTTTTAACTCATCTGATATCAATTGTTTTCGCTTTAACCTCTCTATTCCCTGAAAAAAGACACAGAATTTTGCATGAAAAATACAACAAAATATGTCATTTGTTCACTGCATTGCTTCCGATCAGCTTAAAGTCTATCAAAATTGACTGGATTAAATGGTAATCTCGTCTTCCTCGACGGTTCGAGTTTAAGAAGATACGAACTACGAAGTACTGGCTGCAGGTTTCGATGGGAAAATCTCGAATACCTTTCAGACGGTTGGAATAAGTGTAAGTTACTATACTGTAACTTGTAAGACTATTCGTAAGTTTAACAACACAACAGAAAATACACGTATGTAACAGAACAAGACAAGCATTCAACCAGAAGGACCAGTAAAAGTTGTTAAAACATAAAATAAAAAATGTATTCGGAAAACTAAATTTATGAATTAAAGACGAAGCCTATATAAACGGTAAAACAATTTCCTCGAGACAGTGTATATAGGATTGTACATGAACATCTTCCAAATAATTTCTAAGTCATTTGTTTACATACTTTAAATGAAGTACCTCTCTGCGTCTTTTAGCAGCCTCTGTCTCATAAGAATTTCCTTCACTAACTTTTCCCGAGATTTTTGTCGGATAGACAACAGCAACAGGCCGGGAGGACTGGACATCCGCCGTAGTTTGCCTTGTGGAAGAACGAGCTTTTGCGATATTCGCAGCCGTAGTAGAATTCTCTAAATATTGCTTGGAATTATTACCGTGCTGTGATGAAGGATTTTGTTTTATACTTTGAGAATTGATTCCATTATTGATTTTACGAATATTAGCAGTACTTGGAGTGGAACATGAAACTGATGGATTACTTGAGGTTTCTTTACTTTCACTTTTCTTTGATGAAGACAATCTTATGTGATAACCAGTTCCCTGTGATAAATTTCTATCACCGAGGTTAAGAAACTTGGAATTCGGCTCTGACCACGAGCTCTGGACAGTTTTTTTATCATTGGTCTTCAGGGCCGTTGGACCAGGTTCCAAAATCTTTTGTTTATTATCCAACCAGGTTTTCGTTGCTGTACCGGTTGGCAAGAGATGTAAAATACCTGAACTCTCCTCAGGAAATTCGGGTAATTTTAATTTTTTACGTCTGATTCTTGGCGGTTTCATTGGTGATTTAGACACAACACTAGTGGGCTTAAAGTTGAATGATTCTGCGTTCTGCACATTTACAACCGGAATATTAGGTGCTGTGGAAGTGGGGTTTTTCTTTGGTATTTTGTACGAAGTAAAAGAGTGTTGGCTAGCTTTCGGCATGGCCTTCGACGGCTCTTGTGAGAACTTCGTATTTTCCTCTTTCTCGATGTCCTTATCTGTAATCGTCTTTGGAGGGTTTATTCTGCTTTTAGCAACAGACATGTGAGATCGATCATCACTTGGCATGTTGACGACGCTTGAGCTGGAACTTGCCCCAAACCGTTTTAACCGTTTGTCATTGACAAATTCTCTCACGGCTGTTTCATTTCCTTTACATTTTCTCGGGGATGAACTGTTCGAATCGCCCTTCGCTCTATTTCTATGAATGGAGCATCGGCCAAACATCTCTCTTGAACAACAACGAGCTGAAGAGCCTAGGAAAGGGCCCAAAAATACAAAATGAAAAATTCCAGGCATGGCAGGGAGTAGAATTGGGGGAAATAGTGTAACAATTTTGCTACAATAATTTACTATAATTATACCAAAATATAAGAGATATTGTATGTATAATGTAGAAGAAATAATGTCACACAAATGAAAATGGCCTAATCGTTTCCAACATTGCCAGTCTGAAGATGAAACGGAACGTAAATTGCAATTCTAGCTATGTACACTAGTGACTTAAATGTAAAAATCAACCTTCATCCGTGCAGGATAAGACAAAATATGATATACCTAATAATGAGCTGGATCGTTGGTCTTTTTTTTCTTTTTTTTCCTTTGAAGTATTTTGTTTTCTTAACACTTTAGGTTTGGCTTCTGACTGACGTGCCATTTTGTTTTCTTCAATCCTCACTCTTCCATCCTTATCAACCGTAAGAGATTCGCTATGCAGAGTATCCAATCCAGTAAATATAGAACCTAATACGTCAGGATTGCCCGTGGCAGTTGATCTATAAAACACATACCGAAACAATATTAGTAGAATTTCATATGCATGGTTTAAAACGCCATCCACTGACCTATATTAGATGGACTACGCACGAAACCTAATTAAGGGAATCCTCGAATTAAAGCCTCCTTCTTTTTACGAGTTCGAATTCCTAAACATTTTACACTGAACACATTTTTAAAAACGCCAAATACGAACTCAAAAACAACTATCAGTCTGCAGTACGTTCAATCGACGTCTGAACCTACATGACGTTAGTAAAGATGCGGATACATTTTGTATCGCGCGTCTAGGGCATTGAGTAAACATAAGTTAGAGCGGCACATAAATTGCATAACAACCAGCTTTCGCAAGATATGGTTAGATACGCTTTGATGGCCGAGTCAGTGTGACTACTGCTGGTTAGCACACGTTATGGAAAGGTAAGGAAGTATTTAGAAGAAAATGACAACGACGAAAAGTTAGAACTACTGGACAATTTTTATAATAGTTAAACATGCATGACATGACATTTTTTATAGTTAAACATGCGCAAATGCCATGCTGCATGATGCATGAGAGCGCAACTAAAATGGATGACATGAAGGTAATTGAACCATGTTAAATATGTACGTATGTAATGTTGCTGCACGTGTACGACTATGACTATACAATCAAAACAAATCAAATCAAATCAAGACGAATACTTTGCAAGTCAGCAGAAAAGATATTTTGCAACTCGTATATTCGTATTCGCTGCTTACGCTTTTCTTATGTATCAACATTATCATATCAACATTTACTGACTTACATGAGTGGCGTGGAGTGTGTCGTGACCACTGGAGCTGGTGATTCGACTATTGGAAGATACTCAAGATCAAAATCGCTTCCAAATAAAGAAAAGGTTGCCGTTGGCTCCATCTCACGAGGTAAGAGATATCTGTCAGTGGTTTTTGAGCTTCCAGCTGCCGCATCATCATCGGCCTTTATCTTTTTTCTTCGCGATCTCTTTCGTTTCCTCTTCTTTCTTTTCTGTTTTGTAGTACGAGTTGTTGTCGAGCTTTCACCTAAATTGAAAATTAAAGCTCAAGTCAGGTTTAAACTTCGAACTAAATTTCCGCTGGTTAAAACGTAACTATACTCCTGAAATCCGCGATTCAGATTGGCCAATTCCATGAATATCTTCTACAATACACGACGATGTGTGTATAAATTACGACCTTAAATGAAAATATATCGACCTTCAGTCAACAACGATCTTAAATGAAAATATACCTTTAACTAGCGTGTTTGTTTTCTTTTTCTTTGATTGTTGTCCAGTTTGACGACTTCCTTGTGTTCTTCTTCTTCGCCGTCGTCTCCTTCGTCTTGATGTCGCCACAGTTCGCGCACGACGTTGTTGCGATGTTGAAGGTCTAGCGGTGGAAGATACGCTGCTATCTATACGGTGAAGTAAGACAAGAGACAATTATATCTAACGCCACAATTATATCAATAGCCACTTCCTCCATACGACTACCATTTGTCAAACAAAAGTGCCGCCGCTGTTATTGATTTCTGCTTCCATTTAATTGAATTTGGAAAAAATTTCCATCACATCACAATTCAATAACAGCAAACGTCTACTGTGCTCTAAATTACGCGAATATGATTGGTTTTTATACAAGCAGCCGAAATTATTTCAATCCAAACAAAGAATATAATGCAGTTATACTGTAGTATACAATTACGATATCGGAAAAGCCATAAAGCCTGGGAAATGGTTGAATGAAAGACTCTTGCCACTCATGATGGCTGTCTTCTTTTTTAACTCTGTTTAAGATGCACCAAATCTACGACGCAGACGTGAAGTAACACTGCCGTTACTTTCAGTTGCATAACATGACTCCTTTAGTGAACAAGATCCGAATCATGTAAAACAATTATTAAAGTAAACTGGTTCGTAACACTAGCGGCTGTTTTTATGTCACGTCCGACTCGTTATGAATATGACTTCATTCCCAATATGAATAGCTCCGGCATTACGTGACATAAGTTTGAAACCGAAGTAAAGTATGTTTTGAGTGATATTAAGTTGTTTTAACAAAGAAATGTTGTTTTTTTGTCAACTAGTCCTGGTCCCTTCCCGCCATTTCAGATCACTCGGTTGAGGGATCCCACAAAGTACCTGCGAATTGCTTGGATCGGGATTCCAGAGTCGGCGATAGTTCATCGTCAGAGAAAGCAATAGCATGCTGGGAGTAATCAATGCTGTCGTTATCCAGTATATTTTGCTGCGTATTATCCAGAAAGCAATCACGACAGAACCATTCTTCTTCTGGAACACTGTCCAAAGGCGGAGTTAAACACTCAAGATGAAATCTAAAGAAACAATAAACCAGGATTATGTCTGATAACTATTAAAATCTCAACATATCAGTTCAGGACTGTTCACATGATTAACTTTTGTCGAATCCAATTTACTTCTGATGGATGTTTTGTAATTTTTTTACTTGCAATGTATAAGAGCGGCATATCAATTGTAATGCGGTACTGCTTTATCAATAACAAACTACTGTACATTCCATCCATCAGAAGTGAATTGGATTCGACAAAGTTGGATAGACGGGCCTTTAGACTGATTCGTTCCGGCTGTGATTGGAAAGATAAAAATACTTTAACTAGAAGTATTCTGGTGAAGCCTGACGCACACTGAAGCTTTATGGAGGTGTGTCTTTGAGTTTTGAACAGTTTTGAGTTTACATTGTAGCTCAGTCGGCGGGAAAGGATTGTACTAGCAAGCTAAAGATCGCTGGCTTAATTCCACCGCAGTCAGAATAATTTTCAGGTTGTCCGTTTGGTTACAAAGAGTAGCACCATCATACTAAATTTCACACACTCTAACCGTCTTAACCGTTGTCTTAAACTGTCTTGTGGAATTGCGTCTTTTTGAGTTTGCAGTTTTTAATCACGATAGTGTTGTAACTAATGATGGGAAACTTGCTGAACGAAGTACAAGCTGTATGTGATTGACAAGATTATAGATTGTTTTCATGCATCGATAAAGGACAGATATATATTCGACTACATGTTAACTAAATTTTAATGTCATCACACCACAACTTACCCTCTATCGCATCCATCACAAAGTAACATTCTATCTTCACGATCGCCAGTGCCACATATCTAAGATAAGAAACTAAATATTTATTCAGAAACAACAAGATCCGTGCATTATTGATATACACGCAATCTTAAGGCCGTTTTCCACTTCAACCGTATCGTAGCGAAACGTAGCGTATCTCATTGCTTTAAAGTCATTAGTTCTGGCCGAATACTTCGGAAACAAAGAAATACGTTACGTTACGATTGAAGTGGAAAACAGGTCTTAAGTAGTAGCTACTATACTCGTCCTTCGATTTTCATAAGGTGCAAGTTGACTAACAATCACGCTTACGACATTACAATGTTTAAAAAAAGTTGCATAAACATACAAAGAGTTTCAGACAGAAATATAATAAACGGAGCAAACATTAATAATTATACCTCACAGGTGGTTGGATCTTCGTATTCATCCTTGATTTGAGTTCGATCTTCGACTTTGATCTACCGGTCCGAATGAAAAATAGATTTGATCAAAACTGCAATCAAAAAGGACCGTACATAAATACAATCGTGACATACACTGAGTAGCGAACAATCAGAGCGGTTCCAATGTCTATAGACTATGATAATAAAAATTAGCATGAAATTATCCCAGTTACTGATAAATGACATACGAAAGTTATACCACAAAAATTAATTAAGACCAAACAAAATTTTCCACGAAAAAAAAAAAAAAACATCATGTTTCTCCACACTGTATGTGACACTCGATCGACCAATATTCACAAGCGCTTCACTGTGATTCAGTGGAAATACTTTTATAAAATAACATGTATATAACGCGTGTTCTAATTGGTCGAAACCCGTGTTCAGGCCATCCAACCACGGAAATTTAATTCGCTTTTTAAAATCAAACTTGGAAGACCACCTTGATGTTGTTATTTTATAATACAATTATTTAATGGTTTCCCGTGTTTAAATGGCCTGTCCCAACACTTGGGAGTGTTGCTTGAGTAAAGGAAACCTCGCTAAATCACTTGCCTTTAACTCGGCTCGTGTTTCCCGCGCTTTTCTTAACTCTCGCAACATTCCCGCGTGTTTGGATCAAACCATCCAAACACGGAAACAATTAAGTAATTGTATAATAAACCATGGCGGTCATCTCTATTTCTTTTAATCACAACTCCGGGTGGCTCACATACATACAGTAGACCTCAGCCTCGCTTCGACAAACTCCCGGGTTTTTACATATTTTCATATTCATAAATATATATTTGCCACATTACCTCCTCAACTGTTTCTTCATTGTTTGCTATTTTAACTGTGATTGTATAGAACACTTTACGATCCACTGGGCATGTGTTGATATTCTGTAAAATAGTTGAGAACGAACAAGTTGACACGTAGTATATACTGTATTACATGCTACAGTTTTATTCCAAAAAGAATGGCTATCACAAAACGTCTTTCACTTCCCTGGCAGACTACCCTTTTTAATACACACATGCATCCTCAGCTGTTGGAGTAAAAGTAAAACCTATGATCTACGAGCATATTCATAACAGCTTTGATTGCAGAGGGCACGGGAGATCGATAGTGACTCCCTAAAGTCGGACGTTACTTCAGTGTCACATTGGGCTACTCACAACAAAATGTCCCTCAATTCGAAAAAGACTAAAATTATGAAAATATTCTCCCAACACAAATTTTCAGATCTTGACCCAATAACTATTGAGATCAACAACCATACTATTAAGGAAATCTCTTCTGCTGTTCTACTTGGTGTCACATTTGATCAATATTTGAAATGGGATAGGCAAATTCACACTATCTACAACATAATAAACTCTAGACTATATCTATTAAAACGCATACGCAGTCACCTTATTCTAAAATGTCGTATTCAGTTTTACTCTGCACTAATCTACCCACATCTATTATACTGTTGTACACTCTGGGGAAACGCAAATAAAGAACTAATAACGTGCCTACTAAAACTACAGAAACGAGCTGCAAGACTAATTCTTGAATTACCAACCGAAGTACCCTCAATATTACTTTTCCGCCAACTTAATTGGATACCTATTTTCAACTTGATAAAAATGAGAAAAATTCTTATGGTTTTCAATACTTTAAAAACTTCTTGGCCACCAGATCTTAGAAGGTTGTTTGTTTACGTTCGCGACTGTCATCCAATTCAAACAAGATCGACAATGACTGACTTAAAGATCCCTTTAGTCAAGACCGAGCAGGCTAAATCTAAGATATCTTATAGTGGTGCAAGTCTATTCAATTCTTTACCTTCTGAGTTAAAAATCGTTGAAAATTATTCACCTAACTCTTTTAAAAAAAAGCTTAAAACCTTTTTTCTTCAATTAAACAATGAAGTAGACCATGTTAATGAATTTAGCTGCACTGTATGCAAGCATATCATTCGTTGCCAATGTTTCTCGCGATGAAACCTTTCATATTACCTTTCGAGGGCCATTGGGAAGAATACCTTAAGGTAACAATGTGAACCCCTCATGAAATAAAGTTTTAATAATAATAATAATAATAGTTAATTCACCTTCCACATTAATATTTAGTAGGATTGCTTTTACGGTCTGCTAACATATTTGAATATTACCCCCCCCCTCCCTACTTAACTATCTTGCATGGCCTGATGCTTGTTCGTTTTTACACTAAGCTCTTTTTCACGTGAACTATTTCATAATTAAGGGTGTTGATGTAAGAACGATTAACCACACAAACCTTGGCCCACTCTTGTATGCAGACGAGACAGAAAACATGGGTACAGATGTTGGGTATCCCCACTTTTTGATCAGTAAACTCCATTAAACATACAGCACACTGGTCATTGTTGACGTCATCAGTGAATGTACCATCCACACAAGGATTATCTTCATACTCATCACTCTCATCATCGTCATCATCATCATCATCGTCATCATCATCATCGCTGTCACTTTCTACAAAATACATACACGTTATGGTAACTTGTGGATCCCGGAATGAACTCAGCAACATAATTATATAGCCGTGTTTATCTGCTGTTTTTTCTATGATTCAGTGTGCTACAATTCTTTACGTTACAAAATATTATGAAAAATCAGGTTATTACTCCGGACGGCTACCGTAGGTAGAAGGAGTTGAAAAATAGGCTCGATTTTTTGTTTTGCGTCGCCAATTTACGAAAATCACGCGTGGGCGACACGAAGTCCTCGAACGAATCGAAATCGTCCTAGGATCGTTTCTCGCTAGTGTACCCACTTTTTGAGTGCGCGTGCTCGGCAAGTGCCTGAGATGGAAAGTATAAACACTTGCCGAGCATGCGCAGTTGCCGAGCCTTTTAGTTGCAATGCGCTTGCCGGCATGCGCAGACAGCGCAGTTGCTTGCTTTTAGCTCACGCGCACAAAAAGGGTGGGTACATAAAAACGTCACTTTTGATTACTGTGCGCAAGTTAGTCAGATCTCTGTAGTCTGTATCTATTACTTACTCTGTGATAACACCAAAAATTAGGCGCTACAAGCTCAAGCAAGATAACTGTAGCCCGAGTGAATGTTTGAGCAGGCATCTTAGTACAGTATAACATGCACTGCCACATGCATACACTATAAACATTTAGTTTTCTACCTTACAATATTATGGAAGTGTTTGAATCACTGCATACTATACAATACCTTCATCTTCATCTTCATCATCATCTTCATCACTGTTATCAGTATCATCATCATTCAATATATTATACTTCCGTTTCTTGGGAATCCCAACTTCACTCTCTGAATCATCATTGCTATCATCCATTTTTATCTAAATTATATATATATAATTTATAAACTCTGGAAGATTATATTGTCTGAATTCATATAAAATTCCCTTTTCGCTTCTTGTGCTCTTAATTTTTTTTACCCTGTAAATTGAATTAGAACACTCTGTCACATACAGTTAATCAATATGCTAACATTATAATATCTGTTTGTTAATTCCTCCCCAAGAAAGGCAGAATGATTATTTTAAATCTGATTGAAAGTCATTAAATTATCAAGATTTACTTGTCCTATTTGTGCAAATATGTATATAAGTACTTCATCTCTTTTAAATTTTTTTGTTCTCGCTTTAATTAGGTCTAGTAATCCATTCCAAACAATAGCCACGCTGAAAGTTTAACTTTTTATGCCAGTCAATCATAAAATGTAATTTAGACTTTTAGCAAATTGAGTCAGCCATCAGGTGAAATTGATGTGCATACTTCAAATTAGATTTTCGATAACCATCTTAAACATTGACACTGAAAAGACATCTAGGTTTCATTATGTTGGCTTTGCTAATTTAAATTAAACCCATGTGATAACAATTAATATACAATATTCCCTCTGATGTTGCCCTCCCCCTGATATTAAGGTCTACTACTAAATGGTGAACCTTAATTGTATATGAACATGCAGGACTTCTTTTATATTTTTTAAAATATTTAAAACCAATTAGGTTAACAAAATTGCAATCAGCAAGACAATATCAAGTAACAAAATATAATTTGTAACATTAATTTAATTATTTCTAATTATACTATATAGAATGAAAGAACTCATAATGGGGTTGTTTGTCAAGATCACAAATGCTAGATTTTGAGAAATAGAAAAGAAACACTGGTGCGCTTAAGAGCGAACATTTGTCAACAGTGAAAGAACTAGGGGTGTAATGGTGTCCAGTGACAGAGTCACAGAGAGGACCTGAGCTTCAGAGGTATGTCACATATATATCCATTAGGAATAACAGGTAAAGTATAAGGCAGATAGACATGAAGGCACTTGTTGCTTAGTTGTGTATTAGCGTTAAAATAAATAGTTATATGATTTTAAATTTAGCCTATTATTAGTGGGCAGTAAAATGAGTATAACATCATAAATTATCAAATATATATCGATCAAAATTTGTTCGATTCAATTTTCAAGCTACACTAAATTATATCACTGAGAAATAAGTTATATAGAACTAAAAATTCCATTAAAGTCAATTTTAGAGACCACTACATCTACTGACTTCTCTACATACAATATGGACGCAAACAACCTCTAACAGTGGCAAATTTGGAATTAGAAACTTGGTCAAATATTCTGTTTTTGGTAAGGGGAGAAATTGCAAAATTGTAGTAACTTGCCCCTGATTTTACCTAAAGATATAAACCAATAGGACGACTTGAACAAGCAAAATTACCTGTTCATTCTGTACAACTTGCTATCCCAAATTCTCAAAGAAGCACGTACCTTTATATAATATCTGTCGCCATCTTAAAAGATTCTGAGTGATGGTTTTTAATGCAACCCCCCCCCCGATGGATGGAAAAGCCAATAGCGAGAGAGGGGAGAGTCAGGCCTGGAGAAGAAGTGGCGTATATGGTCAAAAAAATTTTACCATGGCGAGATGAAAATTTTTGTTTGAATAGACAAGTCGGTTTTCTTCGACTCGACTCTGCATTTGCCGTTTATAACGATTTTATTAGTTCATATAAACAGGGCCTGATATTTCGCTCACACGAGCGAAATTTGCGGTTCGGGTAGTTAAGAAGCAATCCCCCCTCTACTTCACTTACATAGACTTCCAGTGTTGTCACATTTTGGACGATTGTTACATCTGCGCATGCGCGTGACTGATTATTGCTATCGGTACTCGTAGCGGAAGCCGATTTTAACCTCCCTATTACAGTATTCAGGAGTTCATTCAATCATTCAATAGAGATCGTGGTGAGAAACAAACTCGTTCCCAGGGTATTTTACCTTGATTGTGCGCTGCGGTAAAAGGTCCTGGATCGGCCAGATTTGAATTCTAATTTATTAAATGAATTTTCCTAATTTATGTGTAATTTGCGGAATATTTTATAATTATTTCGAAACGAGTGCGATAAATTTCAGAAAACAAGACTCCACCAACCTCGTTCCCAGGGCATTTACCTTGAGTCTGTTAATTTATGCTTATTCAAAATACCCACGAAATGCGGATATTTTGAACGGCCGATCCCAGGGGGTTTCTTATTCTCTCCCAGCCTCCCCTCCCAGCCCCAACACCCCCTATAAAGTCCCTAAACGCCCCCTGAGAATGAGGTTGTGGTGAGAACAAAAATTAATCGCTAAAGGTCTCGAATTCGAGTGAAAAAAAAATCAGCCAATAAAAATCCAGAGCCTTAAAACTGAATTTCATTTCCTCCATTTTTTTTAGCTTCCGTCAAGTCAAACTTTTGAGTCATTCTGGAAAAAACAAGAGAAAATGCCTCCTTCTTGCACATAAAGTCTCAGTTAGTTGATGCCCCCGTTGTCATTGAGAAATAATCCGAATAAATTTGTATTTATCACTTTATTCAAATCGGCCATGGTTCTGTGGCAATCGGTGCACATACATCTAGAAATATTTTAACACATCAGCACCTTGACATGATGTTCACAACTGACTACCACTACAAAATGAAAACCAAACTATATTAGTCTGAACATTCCTTGTTAGTCGCACTGAAATCGCGATGTCTTTGTACGTCTATATGGATTTGTTGGTTTATTTGTAATCTTGACATGTTTTGGTAATAGCTAGTTCACAATATTACGCATAATCACTATATCATCTTATAACAATTTATATAATATATTCATATAACCATAGCATTCTCTTCAGTCAGACTGTAAGTCTGACTGAAGAGTATGCTATGGTTATATGAATATATTACTGTATAGACTGTATAGACTGTATAGACTGTATAGACTGTATAGACTGTATAGACTGTATAGTTACATGCATGAGTAAGCAAATAGCTATCCACACCTTTTCCCAAAAACCACGATAGCATGCATGTGCTACAACGCACTGTATTGCGTAGAGGAAATGACTTGAAGTTTTAGTGTAGCCAAGCGCAGGGGCGGACTGGCCCACAGGGATACCGGGAAATTTCCCGGTGCGCCCTTGATTTACATGCCGTTTGGCGCCCCATTTTGGAGAAAATTATGGAAGAAATGATAAAACCATTGAAAGTAAAACACATGCAGGAAAGATAATCTGTTCTAAATCATGTATCAATTGAAACTGCCAACATTGTAGTGGTCAAATTTTAAACGCGACATGGCAGCACACGTATTTTCAATAGCTGTTGCTCATGTTAGAGCTACAAATGGCGCCCCCTTTTTTATTTTTCCCGGTGAATCATGTATAGGCCAGTCCGCCCCTGGCCAAGCGTAAAAAGTCTGAGCACAACCAACCACGGAGAGAGAAATGCGTACAACATTCTTCATAAGGCTTCAGTAGTCAGTGCCTAAATACTATATTGTAAAATGAAGAATTACTAAACAATAAAACAAAAACAAAAGGAGTTAAAGTTGAAGACAAGGCTTTGTGGAGCTGTGCTCAGACAGAGATATAATTCAAACGTTTAAAGATATATTATATTCTTAAGGTCATAATCTTATAGAGACGTTAATTACTGTTATTGGAAAGTTAAGGAATAAATAATTATATAAATATAATTGATTCACACTGTGTTTGTTGCGAGTAGAATCAGAACCAAAAGCGAGTATTACAATTATCCACAAAGTGATTGATGACTAGCTAATCATAAATATAAAAAAGTTCAATCGCTCGGCTCCACAGAGCACAGGATTTGGTTTTACGAACAAAATTTATTATAGGTTTTTTTGTCATTTGTGTGCAGTTTCATCACATGCGCTAGCCACTATAGCGATTTTCTAAAGTAAACATCCCCGCGTTCAATATGATAAATTATGAGTCAAAAGAAGAAGAGGGGAACATATATCTAAAAAAAGAAAGGTACAACGAAACACAATTCTTAATTCATAATTATGATTAAGAAAGGCTACAGCTGTCATACTATGCTTCCATGTCTATTTCTGTGAAAGAACATTCCATCTTTCGCCTAGTGGAATATTCCTACAATTGTATATCATAAACATTCATTATTATCATAGTCTAATAATTAATAACATTAATATGATCATTTCTACAACGCTCTGTTACAGGATTTAACTGCCATTACTCAGTGAAATAATGTTTTGTAGGCCTGTGTTGTAAATTACCAACAACCCTGCGTGGAATGCTGTTCTAAAAATCAGGCTGCCGGAGTCTCATCTCACTTTTTGTCATAGATCGTCGATTGTTGTTCCAGTTGTACCATGTCATTCCACCTGAAGATATACCTGCCCTGGGGAATAAACCATTGAGATTGGAGTTTCCGCATGTGTTGTCATGGTTACTGTACCACCATGCACCAGTGTGGAGAACAGCACAGTTAAATTCACTCGACATGTCGTTATCTCTATCTTTGGTACTGAATTTTGCCCCGTTATTATCAATCAACGAATCTCCAGCATTTTCTGAAATTAAATTTTATTAATTTTCAGTTCGTATTTGCTATAGCAGATACAACAACACAAACTTATTGTATCATGAAAATATTAAATTTAACTATTCTTTTAGGCCTTATGGCTTCTTTCGACGCAATTACGCGTTTTCTGTACACACGTAAACGCACGGAAATTTTTAAATGCTCCTAAATTTTTATTATTTAACACCAAGGTCAGTAAATAAATCGAAGGAACTTAGTTTTTCTGTGTATATTTAAGTACGCATTTAGTTGACCTAGATGTTAAATAATAAAAATTTAAAAGCATATAAAATTTTCCGTACGAATACGTGCGTATAAAAAACGCTTAGGTGCATGGAAAGCAGCCTTAAGTTTCCTTTTAAATTTTACGTGCGTGTACGTACGTACAAAAAACGCCACCATGGAAAACAGTCCTAAATTTACATCAATCTTATCAGTTACTACTGCAAATTCACCTCCTAGGCAAAAATTTACAACGCTTATTAAAAGGAATTCCACTTTTTTACCATCAGTTTCTCGTAAGTTATCATGCTTTATAAAACAAGCCATTAATTCTCCACTATCCGGTTTGCCTTGTCATTGTAACTAGGCCTTTGAAGATGCTAAGCATCATGGGTAGAGCTTAAGCAAGAACAACGAGAAAATGAGAGCGAGGTAAAACATGTGATTTCATTTTGTCATTTTTCACGTGAAAACGTGAAGGAAACTGATTTGCTATAAATGTTTTGGATATCATGATGGATTACATATTACATACCTTTTGGAGCACATTTCACTCCAGCATCTTCAGAATGACGACAGTTGTGGACTCCCCAGCCGCTATGGGAACAATTGGCCAGATTTTGCTCATTCCCAGAACAATAAACATCGTCTAACCATATCTCCTCTGAACCAGAAGAGACAAGATTTCCCTGAAGGGCCGCAAGGGCTTGCTGATAACCAAGTTGACGACACACAACTTGAGCATCCTTGATATCCCATTCGTCGTCACAGATTGTTCCCCATGTTCCGTTATGAAATACCTCCACACGACCAATACCCATTAAACTTAATGGCCCTTGCAGCCTCACTGTTTGATCTAAAATTATGGTAATGATCCTGTGAGTTATCACCTATTTAAGTTAACAGCGAAAAGATTTCCTTGAAACAAAAATACCGCGCGTATTTCCTGACCAAAATTTCAAAAATTTCTTCCAATCTATTTCCGAAACATGCAACATTATGTTATCCGTGTTTGTTTTCTGATGACATTAAGAAAAACTAAAAATATTTCACGTGAAAACGTGAAGAAGGCTGATTTGCTAAATGTTTTCGATATCATGATATGAAATTGTAAGCGTTGGATAATTTACCTTTTGGAGCACATTTCACTCCAGCATCTTCAGAATGATGACAGTTGTGGACTCCCCAGCCTCTATGGGAGCAACTGGCCAGATTTTGCTCATTCCCAGAACAACGAACATTGTCTAACCATATCTCTCCTGAACCAGAAGGAACAAGTTTTCCCTGAAGTGCTGCAAGGGCTCTTAGATAACCAAGTTGACGACACACAACTTGAGCATGGTTCATATCCCAAGAATCATCACAAACTGTTCCCCATTTTCCGTTATGAAATACCTCCACACGACCAATACCCATTAAACTTAATGGCCCTTGCAGCCTCACTGTTTGATCTAAAACTATGGTAATGATCCTGTGAGTTATTACAAACTGTCCACTAAACCATCATATAGTAAATTTAGGAGCTAAATATCATTCCAAAGAGCAAAATAATTCTTTAGTAATTCCGGGAAAATTTAAGAATTACTATTTTATCAGTTTTAGAATTAATGAGTAAGATTCAATCAAAATGCTTTTACAAAGAAGACTTTGAAATGCCTTTATTAACGTGTTAATTAAACTGCAGTACATAAACAATTAAACATTCAGTGTTTCCTGATTGAACTAGCTCCTGACCAAGACATGGTTTAACTGAAGTCTGTTCGCAAGCAGAAAAAAAGCTAATTGCAATGATTTCGTTGCAAGAAATGTTGGATTATCAAATTCACCTTTTTCAGAACAATTTACCCCAGCATCATCAGAATGTTGACAATTATGACTTCCCCAGTTCTTAGAAGGACAATTAGTTAGTTCTTTTTCATTCCCAGTGCAATGAACGTCGTCTAACCATATCGGTCCACTGCCAGAGAGAACATACTTTCCTTGCAAGGCTTCGTTAGCTTTTTGATAACCAAGTTGACGACACACAACTTCAGCATCTTTAATATCCCAGTTATCGTCACAGATTGTTCCCCATTTTCCGTTATGGAATACTTCCACACGACCTGTACCATTTGATCTTAATGGCCCCCGCAACCTGATAGTTGGTCCTAAAAATGAGGATGCGATAATAATAAAACGGCTGACTTTTTGAGATGACGTCATATTTATCATCTTCTTAATTATGGCTGGCAAATTAAAATTCAGCCTGAATTTTCGCCTGTCATTCTTGCCTCGAAAGAGAGTTGACCAGCTTTCTGATACATTATATGATTGCAAAACCCCATGCATGCAACAGACCCTCAGTTACTACACACAGGGTTGACCCCACACTAAAATAGTGAGATGACTCGAAAACCCAGTTGACTACAGTACTGTCCAGAAATAACCTAACAAATAAAGGTATATCTACGTTAAACCTCGGTCTGATCGCGGTTGAATCGAGCTCAGACCGAAGTCAAACCGTGGTGAGACGGAAGTTTAACACCCCGCCCTGTTAATTAACTCGGTCTGACAGACATTTCTAAGATGTTTCCGATATGATTATTGTGCTGTCGTTCTCAGCTGTTCCTAACATTCCGTTTGGAAGCGAACAATAACCGCCTACTGGAAAATCGGCCTTAGGTTATTTCTGGACAGTACCTGTATATTTACCCTCTGTGGAAAATCCATCAACGTGCAGTTTATAACCCTCGGATTCAGAACTCACAGAAAACATGGAATATTTTACAAAAGCTATCCCATCACCAGACTTCAGTATAATTGTTGATGTGTATTGACCAGATTCTGTTAAACGATGTATTTTGTCTAAACCAAGCCAAAAATTCCCTGAGAGAGAGCCAAATCCTGTTTTATATTCAGACCAACCACGATAAAAATCCACACTTGCAGCTTGTCTTCTTTGAAACACCGTCCATCCTCCTCCATTGGTTGTCATATCACACCAGACATAAAAAGAACCATTACCATCCGGATTGATTGTGTAAATTCCATCAGATCTCCTACCAGACTTGTACCAATGTGCACAACTTTTAACTGAAACTGTTGAATATTACAATAAACATAAAAAAAAATTACTAAGAAATGTTTATGCCTTGTTAAATAGTAGCTGAACGCAACGTTCTATGTTTTTCTACTAAAGCGCCTGGGTACAAGGCTGGAGATTAAAGAAAGCCGACGGATAAGAATTGTTTGCAAAAATGTAAATGCCAATTACCAACGCATTTCACACCAGCATCTTCAGAATGATCACAGTCATGGACTCCCCAGCCTTTATGGGAACAACTGGCCAGGTTTTGCTCATTCCCAGAACAACGAACATTTTCTAACCATATCTGTCCTGAACCAGAAGAAATACGATTTCCCGAAAGGGCCGCAAGGGCTTTCTGATAACCAAGTTGACGACACACAACTTGAGCATCCTTGATATCCCAAAGGTCATTACAGATTGTTCCCCATTTTCCGTTATAGAATACCTCCACACGACCAACACCATTTGAACTTGAAGGCCCTTTTAATTGGATTGATACATCTGGAAATTATGACAACGGACTAGTAAGCGACCAGTGGCAGTTCCAGCGCATGTAATATTAAATTAATACAGCTCTAACTTGCAATCATATTAAGAGATTTTTGTAAAGTTATTCTTGGAGATTATAGGAATTACACCTTGGCATAAAGGGAAGCTGGATACATATCCATCTCAGGTGTAAAGTGTCCAAAGGCAGACCTCTTGCAGTTTTGCTGGCAAATGCTTATTACGTGATATATTGTATGATATTTTCATTTGTCATTACGTCATTGTTTTTATAACCTCTGCCGTGTGACCTACAATCATTTTCAAAGGGCTTGGGATAGGTAACCAAATTACCGACTTAAAACACAAACCCAGATCCCCCCGCCCCCTCTTCAATGTTGTGTCCCAAGAAGACGGACATTTTGTTCGCAAACGTGTAACCATCATTGATTCGGGGAAGGGGGGTGGGGAGATGTATGGCAATGATCCTAAATAGTAGATTTTGTTTAAAAATAGTAATTAGCAACTTTCTGATCGCATGGCAAAAAAACAAAAATTAACTTTAATTTCGCAAAGTCTTTTGTAAAAGTGCTTTAAAAACTTTATACAAAATAAAATGTGAAAAGATAGGATAAAACTGAGCGAAAGCTATAAAAAAATATACAATTCAAGGGTTTTGAAAAGTTAGGTGTCGGTATTATGATGTAAATTCCATCAGATTTCCAGCCAGACTTGTACCAATGTGCGCAACTTTTATCTGAAACTGTTGAATATTACAATAAACATAAAAAATTACTAGGAAATATTTATGCCTGGTTAAAATTTACAATCTACAGCTGTAGTTGTTTTGCTGTTTCCAGTTAGCCTCAAGCTCGGTGATTACGAACTTAAATAGTAGCTCAACGCAACGTTATATGTTTTTCTACTAAAGCACTTCGGTACAAGGCTGAAGATTGAAGAAAGCTGATTGATAAGATTTGGTTGCAAAAATGTAAATGCCGATTACCAATGCATTTCACTCCAGCATCTTCAGAATGACGACAGTCATGGACTCCCCAGCCTCTATGGGAACAATTGGCTAGATTTTGCTCATTCCCAGAACAACGAACATTGTCTAACCATATCTGCCCTGAACCAGAAGGAACAAGATTTCCCGGAAGGGCCGCAAAGGCTTTCTGATAACCAAGTTGACGACACACAACTTGAGCATCATTAATATCCCATTCATCGTCACAGATTGTTCCCCATTTTCCGCTATAGAATATCTCCACACGACCAATACCATTTGAACTTGAAGGCCCTTTTAACTGGATTGATGTACCTGGAATATATGGCAACGGACTAGTAAGCTACCAGTTGCGGTTCCAGTGTAAGTGTGATTAAATTAATACAGCTCTAACTTGCAATCATATTAATAAATTTTTGTAAAAGTTTTCTTAGAGATTATAGGAATTACACCCTGGCATAAAGGGAAGCTAGATAGATATCCATCTCAGGTGTAAAGTGTCCAAAGGCAGACCTCTTGCAGTTTTGCTAGCAAATGTTTATTACGTGATATATACTGTGTGATATTCTTCATTTGTTATTACGTCATTGTTTTTATGACCTCTGCCGTGTGACCTACAATCATTTGCAAAAGGGTTGGGATAGGTAACCAAATTTCCGATTTAAAACACAAGCCCAGATCCCCCGCGCACCCTTTTCAATGTTGTCCCCAAAAAGACGGACATTTTGTTCGCAAACGTGTAACCAACATTGATTGGGGAGAGGGGGGTGGGTGGAGATGTATGGCAATGATCCTATATAGTAGATTTTGTTTAAAAATAGTAATTGCTCAACTATTCCTTAAAAATGATTGTAGTTTCACTAATGTTTTGGCATTTACGGACATGAAAACACGTTTCAAAATAAATTAATTACTTTTCCTAAATAAAACTCAATTACTACTAAAATTTATCGGCAGAAATCATGAAAAATGACAAGGAATGATGGCTTCTGTATGACGTCTGTATTTTGGGAAAATTTTAGGAAACGAAGTTACATTTCTGATAATACGTATTCTGTGACGCAGGTATGTAACAGGTTGCCCAAATTCTATGTAATGGGCTGCTGATTATTAGAATTTGTACGTACTTGCAAAATCTGATGGAATAAAAACTGGTAATTAGCAACTTTCGGAGCGATCGCATGGCAAAATACAAAATTAACTGTAATTTCGCAAACGTTTGTGTAAAAGTGCTTTAAAAATTTTATACAAAATAAAATGTGAAAAGATAGGATAAAACTGAACGATAACTATAAAAAATATACAATTCAAGGGTTTTGAAAATATAGTTGTCGGATTTATGATGTAAATTCCATCAGATCTCCTGCCAGACTTGTACCAATGTGTGCAAATTTTATTTTAAACTGCTGAATATTAAAATAAACATAAAAAATTACTAGGAAATGTTTATGCCTGGTTAAAATTTACAATCTACAGCCGTAGTTGTTTTGCTGCTTCCAGTTAGCCTCAGGCTCGGTGATTACGAGCCTAAATAGTAGCTGAATTCGAACGCAACGTTATATGTTTTTCTACTAAAGCGCCTGGGTACAAGGCTGCAGATTAGTGGAAGATGATTGATAAGATTTGGTTCAAAAAATGTAAATGCCGATTACCACACTTCACTCCAGCATCTTCAGAATGACCACAGTCATGGACTCCCCAGCCTCTATGTGAACAATTGCCCAGATTTTGCTCATTCCCAGAACAACGAACATTGTCTAACCATATCTGCCCTGAACCAGAAGGAACAAGATCTCCCTCAAGGGCCGCAAAGGCTTTCTGATAACCAAGTTGACGACACACAACTTGAGCATCATTGACATCCCATTGGTCATCACAGACTGTTCCCCATTTTCCGTTATAAAATATCTCCACACGACCAACACCATTTGAACTTGAAGGTCCTTTTAACCGGATTGATGGACCTGGAATATATGACAACGGACTAGTAAGCGACCAGTTGCGGTTCCAGTGTAAGTGAGATTAAATTAATACAGCTCTAACTTGCAATCATATTAATAAATTTTTGTAAAATTATTCTTGGAGATTATAGGAATTACACCCGGGAATAAAGAGAAGCTGGATAGATATGCATCTCAGGTGTAAAGTGTCCAAATGCTGACCTCTGGCACTTTTACTGGCAAATGTTTATTACGTGATAAATTGTGTGATATTTTTTCATTTGTTATTACGTCATTGTTTTTATGACCTCCGTCGTCTGACCTACAATCAATTGCAAAAGAGTTGGGATGGGTAACCAAATTTCCGATTTAAAACACGAGCCCATATCCCCCGCGCCCCCTCTTCAATGTTGTGCCCAAAAAGACGGACATTTTGTTCGCAAACGGGTAACCAACATTGATTGGGGGGAGGGGGGTGGGGAGAGAGGTATGGCAATGATCCTATGTAGTAGATTTTGTTTAAAAATAATAATTGCCCGACTAATTTTAAAAATGATTATAGTTTCACTAATGTTTTGGCATTTAAGGTGATGAAAACACGTTTCAAAATAAATAATTTATTTTGTCAATTTAAACCAAAAAATTAGTACTAAAATTAAACGGCAGAAATAATGAAAAATGACAAGGAATGATGGCTTCTGTATGACGTCTGTATTTTGGGAAAATTTTAGGACACGAAGTTACATTTCTGATAATAGTGAGCTTAAGCAAGTGACGTTTTTGACAACACGTACGTTGACCGGAAGTAAAGTTTTTATTTTTCACCAATCACAATTCTTGACCCAGTCTTTTGGCGTTACTCATGCCGTTTGTGATGTCAAAAACGTCACTTGCTTAAGCTCACTAATACGTATTCTGTGACGCGGGTATGTAACAGGTTGCCCAAATTCCATGTAATGGGCCGTGATCATCAGAATTTGTACGTATGCGCAAAATCTGAACGAATAAAAACTGGTAATTAGCAACTTTCTGATCGCATGGCACAATACAAATATAAAAAACTCTTGCTTTAAAAACTTTATACAAAGTAAAAATTAATGTGAAAAGGTTGGATAAAACTGAGCGATAACTATAAAAGATATACAATTTGAGGGTTTTGAAAAAGTTGGTGTCGGATTTATGACGTAAATTCCATCAGATCTCCTGCCAGACTTGTACCAATGTTCGCAAATTTTATCTGAAACTGTTGAATATTACAATAAACATAAAAAAATTACTAGGAAATGTTTATCGTGGTTAAAATTTACAATCCACAGCTGTAGTTGTTTTGCTGTTTTCAGTTAGCCTCAGTCTCGGTGATTACGAGTGTAAATAGCAGCTGAACGCAACTTTATTTGTTTTTATACTAAAGCGCTTGGGTACAAGGCTGAAGATTGAAGGAAGCTGATTGATAAGATTTAGTTGTAAAAATTTAAATGCGGATTACCAAAGCAGTTCACTCCAGCATCTTCAGAATGACGACAGTCATGGACTCCCCAGCCTCTATGGGAACAATTGCCCAGATTTTGCTCATTCCCAGAACAATGAACATCGTCTAACCATATCTGCCCTGAACCAGAAGGAACAAGATTTCCCTGAAGGGCCATAAAGGCTTTCTGATAACCAAGTTGACGACACACAACTTGAGCATCATTGATATCCCATTGGTCGTCACAGATTGTTCCCCATTTTCCGCTATAGAATATCTCCACACGACCGATACCATTTGAACTTGAAGGCCCTTTTAACTGGATTGATGTACCTGGAATATATGACAACGGACTAGTAAGCGACCAGTTACGGTTCAAGTGTAAGCGAGATTAATACAGCTCTAACTTGCAATCATATTATTTAATTTTTGTAAAGTTATTCTTGGAGATTATAGGAATTACACCCTGGCATAAAGGGAAGCTGGATAGATATCTATCTCAGGTGTAAAGTGTCAAAATGCAGACCTCTTGCAGTTTTGCTGGCAAATGTTTATTACGTGATATATTGTGTGATATTCTTCATTTGTCATTACGTCATTGTTTTTATGACCTCTGCCGTGTGACCTACAATCATTTGCAAAAGGGTTGGGACAGGTAACCAACTTTCTGATTTCAAACACGAGCACAGATCCCCCGCGCCTGCTTTCTAACGTGTGTCCCAGGAAGACAGACATTTTTTTCGCAAACGTGTAACGATCATTGATTGGGGGGAGTTGTATAACAATGATCATATATAGTAGATTTTGTTTAAAAATTGTAATTGCCCAACTTCTTTTAAGATTTATTGTAGTTGCATTAATGTTTTGGCATTTACGGAGATGAGAACACATTTCAAATTAAATGAATTTATTTTTAGCAATTAAAACCCAAAAATTACTACTAAAATTAAACGGCAGGAATAATGAAAAATGACAAGGAATGATGGCTTCTGTATGACGCCTGTATTTAGGGAAAATCTTAGGACACGAAGTTACATTTCTGATAATACGTATTCTGTGGCACGAGTATGTAACAGGTTGCCCAAGTTCTATGTAATGGGCCGTGATCATCAGAATTTGTAGGTACGCACAAAATCTGAACGAATAAAAACTAGTAATTAGCAACTTTCTTATCGCATGGCAAAATACAAAATTAACTGTAATTTCGCAAACGTTTTTGTAAAAGTGCTTTAAAAACTTTATACAAAATAAAATTTGAAAAGATAGGACAAAACTGAGCGATAACTATAAAAAATAAACAATTCAAGGATTTTGAAAAGGTAGGTGTCGGATTTATGATGTAAATCCCATCAGATCTCCTGCCAGACTTGTACCAATGTGCGCAACTTTTATCTCAAACTGGTGAATATTACAATGAATATAAAAAAAATTACTAGAAAATGTTTATGCCTGGTTAAAATTTACAATCTACAGCTGTAGTTGTTTTGCTGTTTCCAGTTAGCCTCAGGCTCGGTAATTACGAGCCTAAATAGAAGCTGAACGCAACGTTATACGTTTTTCTACTAAAGCGCTTAGGTAAAAGGCTAAAGATTAAAGGAAGCTGATTGATAAAATTTGGTTGCAAAAATGTAAATGCCGATTACCAAAGCAGTTCACTCCAGCATCTTCAGAATGACGACAGTCATGGACTCCCCAGCCTCTATGGGAACAATTGGCTAGATTTTGCTCATTCCCAGAACAATCAACATTGTCTAACCATATCTGCCCTGAACCAGAAGGGACAAGGTTTCCCTGAAGGGCCGCAAAGGCTTTCTGATAACCAAGTTGACGACACACAACTTGAGCATCCCTGATATCCCATTGGTTGTCACAGATTGTTCCCCATTTTCCGTTATAGAATATCTCCACACGACCAACACCATTTGAACTTGAAAGCCCTTTTAACTGGATTGATGGACCTGGAAAGTATTACAACGGACTAGTAAGCGACCAGTGGCGGTTCCAGTGTAAATGAGATTAAATTAATACAGCTCTAACTTGCAATCATATTAATAAATTTTTGTAAAGTTATTCTTAGAGATTATAGGAATTACACCCTGGCATAAAGGGAAGCTGGATAGATATCAATCTCAGGTGTAAAATGTCTAAATGCAGACCTGTTGCAGTTTTGCTGGCAAATGTTTATTACGTGATATATTGTGTGATATTCTTCATTTGTTATTACGTCATTGTTTTTATGACCTCTGCCGTGTGACCTTCAATCATTTGCAAAAGGTTGGGATGGGTAATAAAACACGAGCCCATATCCCCCGCGCACCCAGTTCAATGTTGTGCCCAAAAAAACGGACATTTTGTTCGCAAACGTGTAACCAACATTGATTGGGGGGAGGGGGGTGGGGGGGAGATGTATGACAATGATCCTATGTAGTAGATTTAGTTTAAAAATAGTAATTGCCCAACTATTGCTTGAAAATGATTGTATTTTCACTAATGTTTTAGCGTTTACGGAGATGAAAACACGTTTCAAAATAAATTAATTACTTTTCTTAAATAAAACCCAAAAAATACTACTAAAATTTATCGGCAGAAATAATGAAAAATGACAAGGAATGATGGCTTCTGTATAACGTCTGTATTTTGGGAAAATTTTAGGACACGAAGTTACATTTCTGATAATACGTATTCTGTGACGCGGGTATGTTACAGGTTGCCCAAATTCTATGTAATGGGCCGTGATAATCAGAATTTGTACGTAGGCGCAAAATCTGAACGAATAAAAACTGGTAATTAGCAACTTTCGGATCGCAAGGCAAAATACAAAATTAACTGTAATTTCGCAAACGTTTTTGTAAAAGTGCTTTAAAAACTTTATACAAAATAAAATGTGAAAAGATAGGATAAAACTGAGTGAAAGCTTTAAAAAAATATACAATTAAAGGGTTTTGAAAAGGTAGGTGTCGGATTTATGATTTAAATTCCATCAGATCTCCTGCCAGACTTGTACCAATGTGCGCAAAATTTATCTGAAACTGCTGAATATTACAATAAACATAAAAAATTATTAGGAAATGTTTATGCCTGGTTAAAATTTGCAATCTACACCTGTAGTTGTTTTGCTGCTTCCAGTTATAAGCCTCAGGCTGGGTGATTACGAGCCTAGATAGTAGCTGAACGTAACGTTATATGTTTTTCTACTAAAGCGCCTGGGTACAAGGCTGAAGATTGAAGGAAGCTGATTGATAAGATTTGGTTGCAAAAATGTAAATGCCAATTACCACACGTCACTCCAGCATCTTCAGAATGACGACAGTCATGGACTCCCCAGCCTCTATGTGAACAATTGGCCAGCCTTTGCTCATTCCCAGAACAATGAACATCGTCTAACCATATCTGCCCTGAACCAGAAGAAACAAGATTTCCTGGAAGGGCGGCAAAGGCTTTCTGATAACCAAGTTGACGACACACAACTTGAGCATCCCTGGTATCCCATTGGTTGTCACAGATTGTTCCCCATTTTCCGTTATAGAATATCTCCACACGACCAACACCATTTGAACTTGAAGGCCCTTTTAACTGGATTGATGGACCTGGAAATCATTACAACGGACTAGTAAGCGACCAGTGGCGGTTCCAGCGTAAGTCAGATTAAATTAATACAGCTCTAACTTGCAATCATATTAATAAATTTTTGTAAAGTTATTCAGTTGGAGATTATAGGAATTACACCCTGGCATAAAGGGAAGCTGGATAGATATCAATCTCAGGTGTAAAGTGTCCAAATGCAGACCTCTTGCACTTTTACTGGCAAATGTTAATTACGTGATATATTGTGTGATATTTTCATTTGTCATTACGTCATTGTTTTTATGACATTTGCCGTGTGACCTTCAATCATTTGCAAAAGGTTGGGATTGGTACCAATATTCCGATTTAAAACACGAGCCCAGATCCCCCGCACCCCTCTTCAATGTTGTGCCCAAAAAGACGGACATTTTGTTCGCAAAACTGTAACCAACATTGATTGGGGGGAGGGGGGTGGGGGGGATGTATGACAATGATCCTATGTAGTAGATTTAGTTTAAAAATAGTAATTGCCCAACTATTGCTTGAAAATGATTGTATTTTCACTAATGTTTTAGCATTTACGGAGATGAAAACACGTTTAAAAATAAAATAATTACTTTTATTAAATAAAGCTCAAAAATTACTACTAAAATTAAACGGCAGAAATAATGAAAAATGACAAGGAATGATGGCTTCTGTATGACGTCGGTGTTTTAAGAAAATTTTAGGACACGAAGTTATATTTCTGATAATAGGTATTCTGTGACGCGGGTATGTTACAGGTTGCCCAAATTCTATGTAATGGGCCGTGATCATCAGAATTTGTACGTAGGCGCAAAATCTGAACGAATAAAAACTGGTAAATAGCAACTTTCGGATCGCAAGGCAAAATGCAAAATTAACTGTAATTTCGCAAACGTTTTTGTAAAAGTGCTTTAAAAACTTTATACAAAATAAAATGTGAAAAGATAGGATAAATTGAGCGAAAGCTATAAAAAATATGCAATTAAAGGGTTTTGAAAAGGTAGGTGTCGGATTTATGATGTAAATTCTATCAGATCTCCTGCCAGACTTGTACCAATTTACGCAACTTTTATCTGAAACACCTGAATATTACAATAAACATAAAAAAATTATTAGGAAATGTTTATGCCTGGTTAAAATTTGCAATCTACACCTGTAGTTGTTTTGCTGCTTCCAGTTAGCCTCAGGCTCGGTGATTACGAGCGGCGCCTAGATAGTAGCTGAACGCAACGTTATATGTTTTTTACTAAAGCCCTGGGTACAAGGCTGAAGATTGAAGGAAGCTGATTGATAAGATTTGGTTGCAAAAATGTAAATGCCAATTACCACACTTCACTCCAGCATCTTCAGAATGACGACAGTCATGGACTCCCCAGCCTCTATGGGAACAATTGGCCAGATTTTGCTCATTCCCAGAACAATGAACATCGTCTAACCATATCTGCCCTGAACCAGAAGGAACAAGATTTCCCTGAAGGGCCATAAAGGCTTTCTGATAACCAAGTTGACGACACACAACTTGAGCATCATTGATATCCCATTGGTCATCACAGACTGTTCCCCATTTTCCGCTATAAAATATCTCCACACGACCAACACCATTTGAACTTGAAGGTCCTTTTAACCGGATTGATGGACCTGGAAATTATGACAACGGACTAGTAAGCGACCACTTGCGGTTCCAGTGTAAGTGAGATTAAATTAATACAGCTCTAACTTGCAATCATATTATTTAATTTTTGTGAAGTTATTCTTAGAGATTATAGGAATTACACCCTGGCATAAAGGGAAGCTGGATAGATATCAATCTCAGCTTTAAAGTTTCAAAAGGCAGACCTGTTTCAGTTTTGCTGGCAAATGTTTATTACGTGATATATTGTGTGATATTCTTTATTTGTCATTACGTCATTGTTTTTATGACATCTGCCGTGCATGTGACCTACAATCATTTGCAAAAGGGCTGGGACAGGTAACCAAATTTCTGATTTAAAACACGAGCACAGATCCCCGCGCCTGCATTCCAACGTGTGTCCCAAGAAGACAGACATTTTTTTCGCAAACGTGTAACGATCATTGATTGGGGGGAGATGTATGGCAATGATCATATATAGTAGATTTTGTTTAAAAATAGTAATTGCCCAACTTCTTTTAAAAATGATTGCAGTTTTATTAATGTTTTGGCATTTACGGAGATGAAAACACATTTCAAAATTAATGAATTTAATTTTATCGATTAAAACCGAAAAACTACTATTAAAATTAAACGGAGAAATAATAAAAAAAGACAAGGAATGATGGCTTCTGTATGACATCAATCTTTCGGGAAAATTTTAGGACACGAAGTTACATTTTTGATAATACGTGTTCTGTGGCGCGGGTATGCAACAGGTTGCCCAAGTTCTATGTAATGGGCCGTGATCATCAGAATTTGTACGTAAGCGCAAAATCTGAACGAATAAAAACTGGTAATTAGCAACTTTCTGATCGCATGGCAAAATACAAAATTAACTGTAATTTCGCAAACGTTTTTGTAAAAGTGCTTTAAAAACTATATACAAAATAAAATGTGAAAAGATTGGATAAAATTGAGCAATATCTGTAAAAGATATACAATTGAAGGGTTTTCGGATTTATGATGTAAATTCCATCAGATCTCCTGCCAGACTTGTACCAATGTCTGCAACTTTTATCTGAAACTCTTGAATATTACAATAAACATAAAAAAATACTAGGAAATGTTTATGCCTGGTTGAAATTTACAAACTACAGCTGTAGTTGTTTTGCTGTTTCCAGTTAGCCTCAGGCTCGGTGATTACGAGCCTAAATAGCAGCTGAACGCAATCTTATATGTTTTTCTATTGAAGCGCCTGGGTACAAGGCTGAAAATTGAAGGAAGCTGATTGATAAGATTTGGTTGCAAAAATGTAAATGCCGATTACCAAAGCAGTTCACTCCAGCATCTTCAGAATGACGACAGTTGTGGACTCCCCAGCCTCTATGGGAACAACTGGCCAGATTTTGCTCATTCCCAGAACAACGAACATTGTCTAACCATATCTGCCCTGAACCAGAAGGAACAAGTTTTCCTTGAAGAGACGCAAAGACTTCCTGATAACCCAGTTGACGACACACAACTTGAGCATCCTTGATATCCCATTGGTCATCACAGATTGTTCCCCATTTTCCGTTATAGAATATCTCCACACGACCAATACCATTTGAACTTGATGGCCCTTTTAATCGGATTGATAGATCTGGAAATTATAAAAACGGACTTGTAAGCGACCAACTGTGAAATGTCCAAATGCAGACCAAATAGACGGACATTTTGTTCGCAAACGTGCAACCAACGCTGATTGGGGGGGAGGGGGGTGGGGAGAGATTTATGGCAATTATCGTATATAGAAGATTTTAGTTAAGAATAGTAATTACCCAATTACGTTTGTTTACAAATCACACTTGTTACTACAAATCACACTCCCGCTTCGCGGTCGTGCGATTTTGTAATCCTGCGTTTGATTTCACACCAAATCACCCTCCACACAGTGCAATTACCATTATTAATCAGTTAATTAATTAACTGATGAAGCCCCCTAGATTAACCAGTTCAAAATATAATAAATACATCGGCGTTACTATGTTAGTTAAAATGCTGTTAACCTACCTTTAGTTACTACTACAATTGTTACATGACATTCAATAACAAATGATTGAATCTCGTTGCTGTACGTATAGCTGTAGTTCTGTGTGTAATTTCCAACACCAAAATATCCATTGGTTGTGATCGGATTACCCGAACTTTGTATGGTTGGGCAATTCGGTTTAGGTTCTACCCAACTGACAAAGGCCCTTCCCGAAACGGCTACAATTTTTTCCACTGTTTGCGGACATGGACATTCACAGGCTAAAAAAGCAAAACGTTTTTAAGCACGAAGAAAAGAAAACAACTAAGGATTCTGTATACCAAAATAGCAATTGATCGGTACAAAGTTCTAAAGGCGCTTTCCTTTTATACGTTAAAAACGGCCAGACCGGTCCTGTTGTATTTCCGTAGAGACAGCTTACTGGTATTTTAAATTATTTTAAGAAATCTGCATTCAGATTTAATGTTATTTACATCTAATATATTTTTAACGAAATCCTGTATTTCAATTCAAAATACGACCGGTCTGATCATTTTGGCCACTTAATGGAAAGCGCTTCAAATCATTTTTCTGAGGTAGTTTTGACGGCTTGCAGTTGGGTAAAATATTTTATTTTTAAACTTTCAGATGGAAAAATATGAAAAAATATTTTACAATGTTTAACAAAACGAGTTTCTTGCGCAAACATCGGTATTCCATACGTTTGGCGCAAAGTCGAAGAAAATTCATCTTCAATTCTCCTTCGGAAAAAGCGACATAATTATGTTTCCCGTATAAAAGATAAATCTTGTTTTCTTTGGGAATTGCATGTATTATAATTCTAATGGTGTGATGTAACACCATGGTGAACCCAATCAAATCACGGCTAATTGGAATATAAAAGGCAAACTTTTTTTAACATGCAGTCACCCTATGGTAGCCGAGCGTCCGTCATCATCTGTTTGTATGTAATTATGCAACTGATACGTGATTAAAATTTTCAAATTCAAGCCCCATTTACAATACACTGGATTTATTGGCACGGCACGGCTAAAATGGGTTCCCGTGCTCACTTCATCGGTGCCCGGCCTTTGTTTTGGTAGCCTGAGCACTAGTAAAATTGAGCACGGGTACCCATTTTAGCCGTGCCGTGCCGATAAATTGACTGTAGTGTAAACAGGGCTTCAATCGGAAAAATAGAATTCTAACGTTAACTCTAGAATTAGGTGAGAAAAAAATAGATCTAACTGAGGGATTGTTGTCTCTATAGCTCTTAGGGCTGCTTTCCCCTGTCACGTTTAATTTTTCACGGGCTGAGTTTAAATATGCTTCCAAATTTTTATTATTTGCCACGTGATTCAACAAATACATTTTAAAAAGTAAGTTCTTTCGGTTCATTCAGCTGGCTTTTTCAAATATAGCATGTATAAGCATTTAGACTTTTACATTCGTGTACGTGCGTATGAAAAACACGACAATGGAAAGCAGCATTAACCTTAGCCCAGTGTATCTGCGTTACTAACCCCGGTTGTGAATAAATGAAACCGGCTAAATACTCACGAACAACAGTAAAGTTGACAAAACATTTAAATTGAACAATTTTGCCACCACGTTTATACGAGTACGGGTAGGTAATCACGTGCTTGCCCACTGAGAAATTTGCAGGAGGTGTGAGATCAGGTGGATCAACCTGGCCCCTTTTGTAATCAGAACATGTGACTTCGGGTATTGTCCAATTAACCAATCCAGTGAGGGCTCCTGGTTTAGAATATGCAATGAACTCCTGTTCACTTATGCACCCACATCCTTCTAAGAAAAAGGGAAAATGGTTGTTTAAAGAAGCTGTTACTCATTGCTAGTGACATAAATGGACAATCAGAATCGCGTCTTTTGGAGCTAACCATAATTTAGCAATACGTGAGTTACTTGAACAAGAAGGAATTTCGTTTTAAACTAATCGCCATATTTTTTTACATTTTTTAGGCAAAGGTAATCATATAAAAAGGTATAATTATGTTATAGTTATAAAAATTTATACATTCTGATTGGATTACTGAAAATGAAAACAAACTTGCTGATTGGTCTAAAACGAAATCCCTTCTTGTTAGTTACTTGTCATTACGCTTATTCCTTATAAATCGTCAACGTTGAAAGTGATGAAATAGATTTTCAAAGTTTTGCATGTAATGTCCAACCAATAATTTTTTACATTTCTAAAACAATTGAGGAATTCAGGCATTTGAATCGTTTGCATAAACGACTTGGATGGATCCCTTTCTTTGATGAAGCGAAGGTAAACAGGGCAATGCTGGTACACAAAAGACTTATGGTGACTGTCCTGCTTATCTGACACAAATGCTACCACTAAATGTGGATGTAAACAACAGATCAACCAGGCGTGGTAATATAAATCTTGTGTGCCCGAGATTTAAAAGAGAAACCGAAGGCGGGAAGTCCTTCACTGTTGCCTCAATACGGTTCTGGAATAATCTCCCAGACAAAATAAAAACTATCCAAAGCTTATCAAACTTTAAGAAGGCAATAATGCAGTATTTTAGGGACAAATATTTGGAAGTCGATCACTTTAACATTACTTGAATATTTATTCTATTAGTATATTTCATAATTAGTAATTTTTTTAATATTTCATTTTATTAATATTCTATCCTATGTATTCTTGTAAATTCCTAGAGGGCCACAGGTTTATCAGTTGATACTGTTATGTGTTTTACCCTCTGTAAATAAAGTTATTTGTTTGTTTGTTTGTTATTTGAGGCAATATTCATAAATTATACGAACAATGCAATAGAACACAATAGAATAAGCCAATGGACCCCTTTTGTAAGCTCAGGGTAAAACCTATATAATACAACTTTTTGTTTAATTCTCGGCGGGAAAATATTTTTTATTCCGACATCGCAGGATGTAAATATTTACATATATCTATATATCTGTTTTAAAAATGATGACCAGCAAAAATAATAAACGGCGGGTACAAGTTTTGGTCTAAAAAGTCGGTTTATAGCGAGTTTTTATTCGCTTACTTCGTAACTTTTTCATTTTTTAACTTTTAACATCATCTGCATACCTGAATGTGTGCACAAAGCATCGACAATTTTATGCACAACATTGTCAAAATTGTCCGAGAGTACTGAGTTAAACACTAGCTGTGGTGACGACCGACGCTTGATGTGAAGTTTCAAGTCTTTTATCTCGTCTCCAATGCTTCCAACTAAGGCAATAATGGTGACATTTTCCTTTATTGTTGTCATAAACTCATCTTTAAATCTGCTTTGATTTTCCACCCTAGCGTCCGTTCCGTTGCTCAATAATAGCAACAAAATGACGTCATCCACGTTAGGACGGGAAGTTTTGTTGATACTGCCGTTGTTGAACACCTTAAATTGAAGATGAGAATTTGTCGGTTTATATTATTTTCTCTCTTCCTTTCATTGAGCGAGCGAGCCTGAAAGGAGCAGGCATTCCGAACACAAAATTATTCAACCTTAATTAATTGTTGGCTACAATCAGTGAAAATGGAATCGTATACTGATAAAAGTCTATGTTTGATGATTCAGTATTTCCTTGAAACGATTACTGATTCACATTTAATTTGGACCATTTTTAGGCTAAAAGCAAGCAAATGCAGTAGAAGAGGGAAACTTTCAACAGTTGATTACAGAATATTGAGAAAATGACGGATATTCCAGGAGTTTCTGAGTACTTCAGGCAGTGGGTTTGACTTACATTATTTACGTGCTCGAGTTCATATGATTTTCTTATGATGGTCGTATTTCTGCTCGGATCAGTGCTATTTTCAAAACTATCCAACCACTTTATCAATTCTGTTTTATTCCTAAGCTCCCCGATTTTCAATAATTCTCTTCCTGTGTTGTAGCTTGAGAAGCTAATGAAACCAAGATGTGTTCCATGTTCCTCCACGCCCAGTTTCTTATTTCTGATAAAATTCTTCAAGAATCTTTTCACGTGTGGATTTAAGCCAACAAAATTATAATTGTTCCAAAGAACGAAAATATCTTTTTTGCAATCTGAAACTTTGTGCAATGCACTTGTTCATTAAAAAGTTCATAAAATGATATAGAATTGCATTATGATATAGAATGTAATTCTTTAAAATGGAAGGTATCGTATTATATGTTTGCCCCATTTGTCCCTGCTGATAAAAAGAGAAGGGGAGGGGCGGGGCAGCTATATCGTCCTCTCTGTTCGGGCGTTCCTGATAGCAATAATAAGAAGCTAGTGTAGTTCTATACCTCTTCTGTTAGCAAAGTTCTTGACCATTTCTTTAAGCCCTAAATATTATGTTAAAAACGTGTATAATGTCGTAACTTAACTACTATGAAAATGAGATTTTCTATACAGCATATGGTATACTAACATGCAGATACTTACATACACATGCATAGAGGGATGACGCATGGCTGCAAAACTAAGTTCTTCCGATTTAAACACTCTTTTATTAACATGTAATTTTATAAGGATTTAGACCTTCACGTGCGTATGGAAAGCAGCCTTAATTAAAACAAGCTAAGCGTGGCCGTCAACATTTTTGAATGATCCAATTCTTGAATGTGTTCCATAAATAAATACTTGCCTTCATATTTACAGGAGCGAACATAAACCATAATGTCACATGATTTCTCCCGCCCTCCATACAGTTGAAATATATTCTTGATTTTATTAAAACCAACAGGAAAACTGTGCGGTGATCTTACGTCTGGCTCCACTTTTAGACGACGGAGTTGAAACTTGTGCTGGCATGAAATATTTGGTTTCATCCATGATACTGGGTCTGACATGTTACGGTATGTAATACGGTCAATTTTTTTCTCTAGAATATCGCATGTGCATTTGCCTTCTAATAAAAAAATCAAATCAATCCTGATTAGAATAATAGTTTATTAAATGCTTTTGTTGTTTACTTATTTTGTTACGTTTAAAACATAAAGAGCCAAAATATTTTTCCAGTAAAGCTTAGCAAGCTTCTGCATAGCTGGGAAATATTTCGAAGAGGTGATCAATTAATCAATCAATCAATCAATCATTCAATCAATCAATCAATTATTCAATTAATCAATCAATCAATCAATCAGCAAAATGACAACAACTGTGACATTAGCAATCACAACAAAAAACCTACCCACAATGGGACACAACTTTATGTAGTCATTAAATCTTTCATCAAGATAGTGAAATGTCTCGTTACAACACTGCGATATTTTGATAACATCGTCATTTAAACATTCTCTTTCCCATTGCTTTCTGTCTTCAACAAATTCAGACCACCGTCTTTCACAAAACTCAGTCTCATCTTCTTCCCCAATAACGAGGTTTGTGGCAAAATAAATCATTATAACCGTGTGTAAAACTTCTTTACAGTTGCCAAATATGATTGGTTTACGTCGGTTACGTCCAATTCCCATTCTATGAAAATTATTTATGCCATAAATTATTACAACATTTGATAAATCCGTTAACGGTGAAGGCTATTTCAGATATGTCAGAGCACCTCGGTACCAGGCCTCCAACCTGTACGCGGCTAAAATATCCAATAAGTCTGTCTTTATTCAATTATTTGAAATTATGAACATGCAAAAAGCAACAAACTAGACAATCCTAACTTGGAAAAGTTAGACTGGTAAGATTCATACATCCAATGTCCATGAGCATGTATATATAGGGCAGGCTCCCCCACTGCCCGAGCACCTTTGAGTTACTCAGAAAGTGATTAATATGGAATTACTATTTTTAATTTAAATTAGACAGGTTTATATACAACCCTTTGTTGAGATAATATCGATATTTTGTCAGCAAATAATTAGGTTCAATCAGGAAAAATTGGCAACAGGATGAAAATATTGACAATAGGTAAAATTGACAATAGGTAAAAAGTATAGCCGCGTACGGGTTGGAGGCCTGGTACCGAGGTGCTCTGACATATGTGAAATAGCCTTCACCGAAAAAAATCAGATGGTTCTCGGGGCGTACGAGCTACACGTGATGCTACTACAGTATTGTTCACACTCACTCTTATTAGCCCTATAAAAATTCGTGTACTCATTTTCATCAATGCGATATAGGCTACTCCCGCAGGAAAATACGTTTTTCAAGTAAACCTATTTTGCTTATTCGTGTAATTTGCGTAGAAAACCAGGAATCTGAACTAACTAATAATTTATACAAAACAATATTCCACTGAAGTTCAGAATCGAAATGCTAACGTAGTTTGAAATCATTGAGTGTGAACGACAGCTAAAGGAGCACACATACTCTTGATATTAATCTGTTCATGTGGTCATGTCCGCGCCAACAAGACTAGAATTCAACATTAAAACAAGCTTTCGAGTTTTGATCAGTGTAAAAAATATCAACATTAGCTGCCAACAAAATCCGACAACACAATACTGCAGTGTTTCATTGCAATTGTGCGACTCGTTTCCAGGTTCCTAGCGCAAACTAGTCATTATGTATAGCGTGTATAAAAATACGTATTAGTTGATAACTAAAATATAATAGCCCGAAATCATATGTTTCTCTTCCAGTTTGAAATTTCATTCTACAGGCCTGCCATTATGTATTGAATTCACTATAATCACTACAAAAATAGAAGTATTAAAGAGTTGTCAAAAATAGAAGTATTAAAGAGTTGGCAAGCATCGTATAAAAATGTTACATATAATATATAAAATGAAATATAGACATCAAAGAGGTCAAATCATAAACGTCTTTACCTCTGTCTAAAACCTCGATGTTTCCTTTTTCTCATCCGAAACCGGGCTTTAAGTACAATTTGGTAAAAAATACAAAAAGGCCTCGCCTACACGCGCTCGCGAATCATGGCTAAAAAAGGGCCAAAATATTAAAGCAATGCATAAATTTAAAGCTCGTTTCTCATCGCTTTGTTTATGTTTGTGAATATGTCCTTGTCCTTTCATGAGGATAAACACTATACGGTTCATATTTATTTAGGTGCGTTGCAAACATAATTCGAATTCAGACGGCACAAGGTACTACGAAAAGTATATAGAAGTTCGAAGATTGAAGAAGAAGTTAGAAGATGTAAATAAACCATGTTTACTTACGGAGATGACTTTCACTTATATATGACTGTCTTACCCTTTGGAATTCGTGCTTATATTACTGAAAAACTCTTGTGCATATGGAATATTGTATATATGTGAATATTGCTTGGAATAAGAGAATTATCCAAAATGCCTATGTAGCTCTCTCCTAAATTCCCTTCTTCTTTATGAGTTTGTATCTGAACAATTCTTTTTGACAGCTAGTGTACAATAAAAGATTGATTCTTACGATTCCTGTTACATACGACAATAGCAACATTTGAGCAGTTCTTTTTGACCGCTAGTGTATTAAAAACCCTAGTACATATATAAACCTTATCGGTACTAATTCCACTCGGAGATTTTTAGGAATTACACCCGGAATTTGGGAGAACGTAGCGGAATTCAAAGTTGTCCAAATTCTATGTCATGGACGGTGGACGGTCGACCATTTTTTCAGTTATGCGCTTGCGCGTGTAACGACTGGTAATCAACAACGTTCTTGCGTTTGGCTAAGACAGAAAGTTTGTATTTCAATGAGAACGTCAGCAATTTAACTGTCATTTCGTATAGTAAACTTTTTTGTAAAAGCGTTTCATAAACGTCTTACAAAATAAAACATAAACAAGATAAAAGATAACTATAATAAGAACTAGTATATAAGAAGAATATGGATACAGTTTAAGACTGAGTAAGAAAAACAATTTGTCATCTGTAAGCTTATAAGTGTTTTAAAATATGGTACGTGTTGCGATAAAGATGTAGTATATTTCTATAATTTTCAGTAATGCTGTTTTGCAAAAGACAGGACGCACAGACAACCCGCTGGTTAATTTTGACAACGCGGTGCGATTTTTGAGAGTTTAAAAACTCCAAAAGCAAAGAAAGTTTAACCGTTCCCTATACGTACATTCTTGTTGATTATTTAACGATAATATTACATTTAGAATGCTCTGGCGTCCATGAACTTAAAATTTTGCTTGTCAGAATTCAACGTTAGAGATTATGCAGTTTGTTCTGGGTTTAATATGAGTTTGCTTTATTCGCCATAGATTTCTGTCCATTCTTCGTCAGCTAGAGGCTCTTCACGATATGCTAAACCGAGCACAATTTTCAGTTGTCACCTTTGAATATTGGGCGCACTTATTAAAAAAAAAAGGCTCGCTTCAAACCACGCTTCAAATTAAGGCTCGTATTCTTTAGAATTTTCTTTTTTAACAATGCAAAACATAAAATTAAAATAATCTTGATAAAATTTGGGTCTGCGGTCGAAAATATTTGAAATACTATGAACAAAACAGCATAGAACCCCAGGAAATAAGACAATGAGTTTACACTGACTCATGCACTTGCGTGATGTCGCGAAAATTGCTATTACCAGTGTTCTGTTCCTGACTGCCATCGGTTAAAAAATATATAGATCAACATTCAAAATGCTTTTAAAATTTTTTCGTTTATCGGACTGATGCATCCGTATTTTTGATGTCTGCGGCACTTGATTTAGGGGCTAATATTAATATAATTATTCACGTTCAGCGGCATTAGTTTCTTTTGAAATTGATTTTTTTACTGTCTGCTAACATGATGTACAGCTGCCATCAAAGACCGTTCACACTATGCCGGATTCACATAGTCACAACATCAGTTTAACTTGTTTTACGGTATCCCCGTACCCAAACTTTTTTCATTTGCCATATCATGCTAAAGTAATCATGCTATCATGATTTTGGGATTAAAACTCGCACATGCAGACATGGCTAATTTTCAGTGATATCGGGACTGCATTGTAAAAAGGGCCAAAAAGCTATGTTACAGAGGTAGGTTAGGGCGCAAAGATAAGCAAAGCCAAACAGAAAGTGCCTTCTTAATCCGTTATACAAAACATTTCAAATGTGTATAATGTGGTTAAACTGCCTGATGAGACTGATTCTTTAAAAGTTGAAGAAACACTCCCTTCAGAAAAAATTGTGCCATGAATACGAAAGTTAATATTATATTGAACGAAATTTCATCGTACATCAGACTTTGGCCTTGGTTCAACGTTGCACTTTAGTCGCGTCGAATGCAATTCAAACAATAGATGATAATGAGTTTAACATCCATTAACAATTGTTCGAATTGCATTCGACGCGATCAAAATGCGACATTTAACCTAGGCTTTAATTTACTATCAGAATCACAATATTTGAACGGATAATGATTGATTTCATAATTTCGTTG